CCATGAGCACAGGCACATAGTTTATTCAAATCTGCGTTTCAAAACTGTGGATGAAAGTTGGGAGACGGAGTGGATGACACAACAAAAATCATTGAAAAAATTTATGTCCCTGGTTTCCTCCCTCCTTTGGCCGGGCAGGATAAACGACGTCCGCCAGCACGAAACAGTTTGTTCTGCTCACGCGTAAAAAAATGCAGACGGCACTTAATAAAAAAGTGCACAACTTCTGCCGTAGTGCTCACGAAATGTGAGCCACAGCCAACACTGGCCGAAGAAGTGCGGTCGTCCAGCAGGATGTTCTCAACAATGTTCATGTAAACACTGGCACAGGCTATTTTGTCCACCGTGCACATTTCCACATGTTCTTCCACAATTTGCAAGAGCCGCAGTAATTTCTCCGATGGCACTTGCAAAAATCCTCTTGTCTTGATTTGAGTCAATGCAGTTGGCTCTCGGGAGTTGCTTCTGAGTGTTTGGAGGCAGTCCTTGCAGCTTATTTTAGCAAACTTTTTTGCTACATACCCACCAAGGTAATCCAAAATACAGTCCCTCGTTGACTCGGGATGAATCATGTCTTGCATGCATTCAGCAGGCTCCAGCAGTATATCGTCAAAAAGAACTGCCAAGGTATCAATCTGAAACATATTTTGCGTTATCACAATGGCCAGAGTGAGAAATTTGTAAAGTAAAATATAAAAATGCAGAATAAAAGTCTGTTCTATATCATACGACCAGACGTGCATGTCATTAGCATCAAAAAGCTAGACGACATTCAGCACGTTTACGATGCACAAACACCCTACAAGCAGCATTGGTGGGTGCTATTCAAATGTTTACCTGATTAACAGTAGGCTCTTTATGTTGAAAGAGATCCTGCATTTTCAAGAGGAGACGCGGACCATCCCCTTCAACCGAGGCTCTCTGTGGAGGACGGATCAAGTTGTTCACCGAGAGCAACCGGTAAATGAACAAAAATTGCTGAACAGTTGGCTGTCCCCCTGCTCCAGCGACATGTCTTGCGATGCCAAAAAATCTCTGAAAAATATAAAAGTGTGAAGAAAACGTCTTCAACGAGCAAAAACGTTTAAATGTACCTCGAGGTGGTCTTGTCCAAAGTTGCCAACTAAAACATAGCGAAAGCCACAATTCAGCAGCTTTTCAACAAGCGTCACTGTGCTGTGCAAAGTCATTCTCAAAGCATTGCATGTTGGCTTGCTGAGAAAGAAGAGTTGCTTTTGCTTTGGTAAACTCTGGTTGTAAGTGTGCCACCTGTCAAGCCATTCGATGTTCTCCTTCAGCGTCTGAAAAACAATCTGATTTAAGTGGAACTTCAAAGGATGTGACAGTAGGTTTGAAATATTAGGGCTTACAGAAATGTGTTCCGCTTCATTGTACTGCACATCTTGTGGCCTTTTAGAATTGAAGCAGTCGAATAGACTATTCATTCGCCTCGCAAAATCCGAAGTTGCTTTGGAGCCACGAAGTTTCACACATTCTTCTCTACTGCGATAGAAGTCCATTGCTGAAGCAGTGCTTTCACTGAAGAGCTGAAATGTTTTAGAGAAGTTATATGGCAGAGTGTTGTATTCTGATGAAGCAACACCACTTTTTGTTACACATACTGATTAATGACTCATGCTAGAGCAGCTGTTATGTCTTACCTGGACAGCAAGTCTCACACTCAGTTTTTGGAAAGCGTTGGGGCTGATGTGAGCTTTCGTAAGCTTTGGCACAGCCCGAAGTCCAGCTTGCTGCTCCTCGTAGTCCAGCAGAGCTTCAAAGTGGGAATGCTGTACTTCTTTGTCACCAGGCAACTGTTACATTTATAAAAAGGCTGTGAGACAAAGTTAGCCAGAGCACTGTGATGACTTATCTTAAACTGTTTTACGCACCAGGAACTTTCCGGCCTTCAAAAGGTTATTCCTGATGCACTTGAAGATGTGCGGCGGGTCAATTATAGCCTGAATGACTTTGGAGGAGTCACATGGATGCTCAAACGATGTTGATACTCTTGTGACATCACCACTGACACCTAAAAGAAAGGCATTTCTATTATTAAAATCACTTACTAAATACCTTGAAAATAAATAATGACTGCAAATATTTACCCAAGGAGTTCAGTGCTGATCGGTTCGAAGTTGAGTTATCGCAAGTGACTGCCTCCACAATGACGCCGGCATTCGATAGGAGTACAATGCACTGCAGGATCAGTTTGGCAACAGTGGATCCTGGTGCAGCCCCGGACGTGCAAAACGCTCCGACAGTCTGCGACCAGCCACCAAGGAATGGTCGGAAAAGGAACACCAACACGTGGTCCCCATCTTTCACTTGGTCAGTCGGCTTCGTGTGCTCTGCTAAGTCCACCTTTCCAAGCAGTGCCATATCCGATTCCCTGACGTGAAGGCTCTTTCTCACGCTCATCTCATCAAACATGAGGACACCTAAAGAAAAAAAAATATTTCAGCTCTTTACCTAGAGTCCAGAAAAATCAAATGCAAAAGAAAAAAAAAGATAAAAACCTCGCCGTTCTCTCTTTGGAATCTTTTCCACTTTGTCTTTGAGGATGTCAAATAAATTTTCATCAAATCCGAAGCCGGCCTTCAGATTTTTCAGATAGGAGTAGAGTGTGCGAGGGTGTGGTAGAGGCAGAAAATTATTCTCGTGAAGAAATGTATAAACTGCTGTGGATTTGATTTTCAGCAGTAAACAATCGTAAAGCCATTCCTTTTTATACCTGCAATAAATAAAATGCAATTTTTGTGGTCACGATTCTGCTACAGCTCAAGCAAACAGCACCATCAAAGTAAAACAAAATATTGCGTTTTGTCCCACGGCTTCACTTAGTAGTTTCTGTCAATATCCAGAAAGCAAACGAATGCGCACCGAACATCGCACTTCACATAAAATTGCACACACACACAAACTTTACAAACCGGATCTTACCGTGCTGCTTTCGCAGACTTCATATTTGCTTTCATGATGCACTGGTCTATAATGAGCTTCTCGCGGTCTGAAAGCTTGTGAATATCTGCATACACTCCATTCTTTCTATTCGCGTGCGCCTCCGCTTTTGTGAGTTTCCGCTGACATGACTGAAGCTGTTGCTTCACGCTGCGAAGTTGGGCCTTCACTCTCTGTAGCTCCGACGCTGAACAAACGGTGACCTCTGTTTGACACTCTGCATCAGCGTAGCCATTGCGATTCTCAGTTCTCACAACATCTGCAAAGAGTGAGAAAGGGCAATATTTATAAGGGAAGGAACCAATTTGGTTAGCGTAGTGAGCGAATTTTGTTAGCGTGGTGAGCGGGTAGGATACTTGCAAACTTTGTGCCAGACTTACCTTCGATTTCTTTGTTGGCTGCACTGGAGACGTCTGCATTCGCGACTGTCGCATCACAATCCGGAGAAAGCTCTCGCGGCCTTTTTAGAGGTGGGCCCTTCGTTGCACGCGAACGCTGCTTTGGTTTCGAGAGGTAGGAAGGCAAACCTTCAAAAATCCTTGGTACGGCGTCTTCCACCAGTCTCGGTCGTTCTCGGGGCAGCGAAACGATGTCTCCGTTCACAGTGCACACGTCCGCACGTACAATGTCACTGGCGTCGAAATGTTTTTCACACACGCGAGCGTACTTTGATTCGAACGAAAATCCGGCAGTCTCCTGTCGCGGGATCGCACGTTTCCACCTGACGCGTTGTTCTGCGTTGGCTGGTAAACAGAACAGGGAAACTTTTTCGACGGTGCCCTTGTATCCAGAATGACAGCCCGGCACGCAGCAGGTGTTGGGCATCGCTGTCAACACGATGCGACCGCGAAAAGCTAAAAAGGGGGGCGATCAGCACGACCACCACAACTCCGCGCCAACAGTCCGCTAATGGCGGCCAACAGAGCAGCCGGCCGGGCCGGCTTCCTCGTCCCCCGTCTAGCTACGCCAGCGCCGCGGCGCGGAAAGTGCGGGCGGTATATGAAGCTCTCCCATTGAGTGACGCGGGAGTTTCATGACCAGAAAAAATATTGAAGGACCATGGCGCCGCCAAATGAACGTTTGCCGGTGACTGGACGCCTTCCTTGCTCATCTAAGCCATTAAACCTTTGTTTTTCGCTCACTCCACCGGCGAAGACACCTTTTCTTCTACAGTACCACACACTCAAACCTTCACATAACGAACAAAGATATAGCGAAATATCGGTTATAACAAAGTAAATTAAGATAGTCTTGTGATAGATACAGTGTTAGGAATATACCTTTATAACAAATTCTCGCATATAGCAAACTTAATTTTGTGCAAGACGCAACTTTGTTGTCATGAACTTTGAGTGTATTGACACAATTACAGGTCGACCTATTTTATATAAATTTGAAATCTGAAGTTCAGGGGTCTAATTACAACCAAGACAGAGTACTAGCGCGAGTTATGGCAGACCAAATGAGAAAGCTGGGGCATTGTAACATGGTTATGACATTAGGTTTGCATTCTGTATTTATCTTTAAGGTATACTGTATTTTCTTGCATATAACCCACACTTTCAGCAATGATTCGTGGAAAACATTCAAAGAATGATCCTGCATATCCCTGCAGAGCTTGCTTTCTTGCAACCTTTCGCATTGGAATCTGCATTTCTTGTCTTGACTTCACAATACACCTGGAAAGCTAGCTGTTGATACATTACTGCTTACAGTATTTGAGCACTACTTTATATTAAAAATAAAATTTTTTTTGTGCTAACTGGGGTTGAGATAGGAGAAGAGGGGGTTGAATAACGTTTGTGCCAACTTAGAATTGTGTGAATGTGGTATAATGTCATGCTTTTAAGTTCTTACTATTTGAGATGTTTCACATTTGCACATCTTTATCTAGGCTATACTCATAGATGATGGCCGACATCGATTAATAAAGTCAATATGGCTAACCTGCTAAGAAACACAGATACATAATGTTTATTGACGCACAGGCAATTTGATGGTCAAAGAGCGCCAGTGGCTAAGAAACACGAAGGACGTACCTTGAGCATTCTTTCTTCAGGGGTGCCAGGTGCTTCAGCAGTTCTAGAAGGAACCGCAGAGCCTGCACAAAGAGTTTTTTAAATGTAGCGATCAAACACAGAGGGGCACCCACCGCACAGCACTAGTTCCTTTGCATGCTGCATTGCACAAAGGCGATGCACATAAACAGGGTGAGAATGAAACCTCAAGCAAAATGCAAAAACATTATTACTGTCAGTGCTGTGCCATTCAGGCAGTAGTGGTAGTTTTTAAATTCATTTAAGTTGCAAGATAATGCAGTGCTTGCACATATTGCCACTTGGCCGCTAGTTATGGCGAGCGCAAGCCATGGCTGCCCGCGAGATTGGAAGACGATGTTCTGGGGCAGCACGTGCTCTGGCTAGTTGTTTATTATTAAAGCAGCCATCTTGCCAGTTTTCGGTGCGCCTACCCGCCGGCTCAGTTCTTCCTAGTTGAAGACCTTCTTGTAGCACGTGACAACTGGTGGAGCTGCTGTGTAACCCCCAGCCGATGTTCCAAACGCCTCCAGGTAGCCCTGTACCTGCAGTGACAACACCTGTCCACCGCTCAAGCCGAAGACTCCGAGGACTACCTCCTGAGCGTGGACCTCTTCCCGAGATTACGTCTGTCACACCCCCGAACGCTACGGAAGGCGCTTCAGCCTCCAACGCACAGGAAAGCGCTGCAGCCACACATCATACGCAGTGGAAGCCACGTGTGCCGAAGGTGTTCCACGGTTCCGTCTTGGAGGATGTCGAAGACTGGCTGGCCCAGTTCGAACGGGTTTCGGATTACAATGGTTGGACCAACTTCGACAAAATGAGGAACGTGTACTTCAGCTTGAAGGACGGTGCTTGTACTTGGTACGTAAAACCGTAAGCCTTTTCCCTCGTGGAGCGTCATTCATCGATACCTGCTGGCAAGTTGGGCCAATCCCGATCGCCGCGAACGAGCTGAGCGAACAATTCAGTCACGCCTCCAAATGCCGAATGAAAGCGCCATGATGTACGTCGAGGACATGACGAGCCTTTTTCGTCGAGCTGACCCCGGCATGGCAGAAGAAAAGAAGGTCCGTCATTTAATGCGAGGAGTGAAGGAGCAGCTTTTTGCAGGCCTCGTTCGCTGTCCCCCAAAGACCGTGGCAGAATTTTTGACCGAAGCCACAACCATGGAGCAAGTGCTGCAGCAGCGCTCTACTGTTTACGACCGGCAAGTGAATGCCGCTTCGTCGATAGGTCAGATCGGAGGTGCGGCAGGCAACATCAACATCGAGTCTCTTTGCAATCTCATTCGAATAGTGGTGCGTGACGAACTACAAAAGATTCAGTGCCAGTCCCAACCTACTGCAGGGTCTATTTGCAGGCTTGTCAGAAACGAAGTACGACAGGCTCTCCAAGTTCCGCCTTCCAGCTATGTCCTGCCTGTCCCGGCAGGGCCACATCGTGCATCATACGCAGAAGCTGTAAGCCGATATATTCCTGCTTCACCGCGCTTCGTTAATCCTATGCATCAGGATGCACTTCCTTCGCTGCAGCCAATTCAGCACTTAGAAAATCGACAGCCGCCTCCCAGAAAATCCGACGTATGGCGCACACCGGACAGACGGCCACTGTGTTACCACTGTGGTGAAGCTCGACATGTGTACCGGGAATGTCCCTATCGTCGCCTCGAACTACAGGGTTTTGCCGTCGACGCACCACGGCCGAGATTTGGCGAAAGACTGAGAGCTATTGAAGATTACCTCTCACAGCAGCGCGTGCCACTGCGGCGGCAGTCGTGGTCCCCATCCCCAAGGCGATCTTCTTCAAATTTTCGGAGTCTCCCAGGAGCGACACAGGCGCGCTCGCAAAGCCCTAGGCGGGAAAACTAACGACAGCGACCTTCGGGAGCGAGGTCGCTGACACTCGACGCAAGCAAGGCCTCTCACCGACGCAAGCACGAACACGGAGCGATTCCCTGACGACAGCGACGAAAGCCAGAAACAGATTTTCTCTGGATATACATGTGGTAGTCGACGGTCACCACGACGTTAGTGCATTATTGGACACAGGTGCGGACTACTCGATCATAAGCGAGAAACTAGCAGCGCACATAAAGAAAGTTGTAATGCCTTGGTACGAAGCACAAATTCGTACTGCCGGCGGGCATGTAGTCACCCCAATGGGCATGTGCACTATCAGAGTGAGCATTCGGGGACGTACGTTTCTCGCCAGCTGCCTCGTACTTCGTGACTGTTCCCGATACCTAATCCTGGGAGTCAACTTTTTGCGGGAGCAGGGCGCTATTATCGATCTTCGAGAGCGTACCGCGACGTTTTCGACAGCTGGATCCTTTGACAAATCTGACGACATCCGTAACAGCAAGTTTCGCATTTCTGCCGACACATCGCGTTGCCTCCGCGTTCAAGCTTCCTAGTTGATATGGTTTCCGATAAGTTGCGGAATGATGAGGTTGTCGCCGAAGGCAACTTGGCCCTTTTGTTTGCGCTAGGTATCTGCGCTGCACGCAGCCTCGTCACGCTTTATGGCGGACACTCTGCCCTACTTGTGACTAATTTCAGTAACGAGTACCAGCACCTGTTTCGTGACACCGCCATCGCTTTCGCCTACTTTATCGCAGACGTTTCTGAATGCTTCGCATCTATATCAGCCAACAACGGGCTTCAACCGACACCAAGCGACGCGACTTCACTACTTGGAAAAGTCGATGTCAACTCGACCCTCTCGGAACAACAACAGACCGAGCTACGTGAACTGCTATATCAATTTAAAGAGTGCTTCGCGTCCACCTCGAAGGTTTGTCAGATACCGATCACCAAACACCGAATAATTACATATACCGACGCCTCGCTCATAAAACAACACCCTTACCGCGTTTCGGCAAAGGAACGTGACATTATAAATGCTCAAGTCAAAGAGATGTTGCAAGATGACATTATCCAACTTTCGAAAAGTGCCTGGTCATCTCCGGTCGTGCTCGTGAAGAAAAAAGATGAATCACTGCGCTTCTGCGTGGACTACAGGAAACTTAACAGCGTGACTAAAAAAGACGTCTATCCGCTGCCTCGCGTCGAGGATTCCCTTGACAGACTGCGGCGGGCCAAGTATTTTTCATCTATAGACTTGAAAAGTGGCTACTGGCAGATCGAGGTTGATGAACGAGATCGTGAAAAAACCGCCTTCGTTACACCGGATGGCCTATATGAATTCAAAGTGCTTCCCTTCGGCCTCTGTTCTGCACCTGCGACATTCCAGAGAATGAAGGACACTGTTTTTACCGGTCTAAAGTAACACAGGTGCTTAGTTTACCTCGATGATGTTGTCGTGTTTTCTGTCACCTTTGAGGAGCCCCTGAAGCGTCTGCAGAATGTGTTCGAAGCGCTCCGCTCCGCTCTGCTAACCTGACACTGAAGCCAGAAAAATGCCATTTCGGTTACAAGGAACTTAAGTTTCTCGGCCATGTTGTCAGTGTGGATGGTATTCGACCAGACCCAGACAAAAGTACCGCCGTGGCCTTGTTTCCTGTTCCACGTGATAAGAAGGCAGTGCGTCGCTTTCGAGGGCTCTGCGCGTACTGCCACCGCTTTATAGCCAATTTTTCTAGGATTGCTGAACCGCTCACTCGACTCACTCGTGAAGATGTTCCATTCGTCTGGGAGGAAGAACAGGATGCAGCTTTCTCTGAACTTCGGGAGCGTTTGCAGACACCACCAGTCCTTGCTCACTTTGACCAAGACACTGATACTGAAATTCATACTGACGCCAGCAACGTGGGTCTTGGTGCTGTCCTCGTACAAGAAGAGGGCACAGAGCGAGTGATAGCGTACGCTAGCCCCACTCTTTCCCGCGCCGAGGTCAACTACTCCACGTCAGAGAAAGAGTGCCTCGCTGTTGTATGGGCCACTATGAAATTCAGGCCTTACCTTTACGGACGCCACTTCAAGGTAGTGACCGACCATCATTCGTTGTGCTGGTTAGTCAACCTACGGGACTTGTGTGGGCGACTGGCACGATGGAGTCTTCGTATACAGAAATACGATTTCACGATCGCTTACAAATCGGCCGCAAGCACGAAGATGCTGATTCATTATCCCGTGCACTTGTCGAAGTTTGTGGCCACGACATCGAGGATGGCGATGGTTTCCTTGGGGCCCTTACTACAACAGATCTGATTACGCGACAGCGTGCGGACGATGAAATTCGCGCAGTTATCGAAAACCTTGAAGGACGCAATTCGTCCATACCTCGATGTATTTCTCGAAGTCTGTCGTCGTTCTGTCTGCGAGATGGGGTCCTGTATAAGAAAAACTCCAACGGCAATGAGAGAACCTATCTTCTAGTCGTGCCAACTGACATGCGTGACGACATTCTTCTTGCCTGCCACGATGAGCCCACATCTGGTCACTTAGGTTCCTCTCGAACTCTCGCTCGAGTTCGACAAGCATACTACTGGCCTAAGCTTTCTGCATCAGTTAAGCGATACGTGAAAAGCTGCCGGAAATGTCAACGCCGCAAATCCCCGCCACTAAAGCCCGCAGGGCTTCTTCAACCAATAGAACCACCCAGAGCGCCATTTGATCAAATAGGAATGGATTTACTGGGGCCCTTTCCACTATCATCTGCCGGCAACAAGTGGATCGTAGTAGCCACCGACTATTGACGAAGTACGCCGAAACAAAGGCACTACAACGCGCTACTGCTTCCGACGTCGCCCAATTCTTTATGGACCAGATCGTTCTTCGACATGGCGCCCCGTCGTGCGTAATCACAGACAGAGGAACAGCATTCACGGCCCAGCTCATTCATGAGGTATTCAAGCTCAGCTACACGAGCCATCGCAAGACCACGGCATATCATCCGCAGAGCAACGGCTTGACAGAGCGACTCAACAAGACCATCGCTGACATGTTATCTATGTACGTAGATGTCCAGCATACCTAAGACCTGGGACCAGGTCCTACCGCACGTCACATTCGTGTACAATACTGCCGTCCAGGAAACTACTCGATTCACGCCTTTCCGTCTTGTCTATGGACGTGAAGTCCAGACCATGCTGGATGCGATGCTTCCACACAATTGCGATGCCTTGATCACTCCTGATGCTGTGCAGCTTACCCAGTACGCCAAAGAAGCGCGCCAGTTAGCACGCCTACACATCACGCACCAGCAGAGTACAGACGCATGCCGCTACAACGCTCGCCATCGACAAGTTGAATACCATCCAGGCGATCAAGTTTGGGTGTGGACTCCAGTCCGATGCCAGGGATTGTCAGAAAAACTGCTAAGTCGCTGCTTCGGACCATACAAAGTCTAGCGACGCGTGAGCGATGTGAACTACGAGGTAGTCCCTGATGGCGGCTTCTCGCCACGACGGCGAAAGCACTCCTCAGAGATTGTCCACGTGGTGCGCCTGAAGCCGTACTTCACCAGTAGTGCGACTGCGCATGAACCATATTGCTGTTTTTGTGTATGCGCGTATTTTATGTTGGTTCGCCCCGACTTTGCCTTTGTACTTTCCGAGCATCAGTGATGCCCTTTTTTTTTTTCTCAGAGGGGGAATAATGTCACTTGGCCGCTAGTTACGGCGAGCGCAAGCCATGGCTGCCCGCGAGAATGGAAGACGATGTTCTGCGGCAGCGCGTGCTCTGGCTAGTTGTTTATTATTAAAGCAGCCATCTTGCCAGTTTTCGGTGCGTCTACCCGCCGGCTCAGTTCTTCCTAGTTGAAGACCTTTTTGTAGCACGTGACAATATGTAGCTCTGTACAATGTTTACACTGCAGAATTCAATAAAGCTATGCAATACCACTGTCACCGAATATATCAAACTTGAAGAGAATTGGGAAATAGTTTGACATATCAACACTATAAAATACAAGACATGCTTACCTGAATCATTCCTAAAACCTCTAAATATTTTCGTAAATCACTCGACGTCATGAAACAGAGTAATTCAACTGGTTTGTTGCCTTAAAGGCTATAATAAAAGCATAACCAATACTAGTTTCTCAATTTCCATCCACTTCTTTTTCCTTTTTTTTTTTGAATCTGCATACTAAATTGGGAAGCCTCACATGTTCTTCAAGCAGTTCCTCTAGTACTTGATAATGTATAGCTGCTGTTTCCCTGAACAATGGCTTGTTCTTACCACTACTGTAATTTTTGCTGCATTACATGCCCATGCTGGAGTAAAAGTAACTAATATAAATCTATTGCAAAACACAATTAAATTTAGTGCATAGGGAGCCATCTATACTTTGTGACAAGCAACTCTCAAATGTTTTTCTCCGTGCACAGCCCTTTGCACACAGCGTGATGTTAGACAGAATCTTCCAAAACAATGCCATTATGATATCATAAATAAGAATCTGCTATTATTCGAAACACACAAGTTGAAGGCCCCCTCCCCCCGCCCCCATGCAAAAAGTTGTCCTAGACTTCGGGGCCTATAGAGAGCAACAGGCAGTGGAATTCAAATAACCCTAACAACAGTGAATGAATACAAGCTTTACGAAAAAAAAAAATCTATGTATCTCCACAACGTAAATGATGACGAGTGGTCAAAGCTATGTCCAAGGGTCCATAATGTATATATACTCTGAAGTCCCCAACTAGCATAAGGGACGAACTGATAGATGCACACATGAACTGACGGGCGGATGGACAGACAGATGAACGGAATTTGAAGGTGCAAGATAGCCAATTTTGAAGTTGCAAGACTTGTGCCTTGGTGTCTGCTGTGGTACTGACTGTACTGTCACACATTGCAACTCGCATCTGTGCTACGTACACATGCAACACACACGTTAGACCCGTCTGTTGCACATGTCCATGGCACTACAGCTGGTGTATCCGATCCCTCTCATAAGCCCACATGAGGTCAACACAAGACCTACGGCAACGATCTCGGCTACTACAACACCGCGTGAGCATGTGTCTGAGTTCCACTGATCTGTGTGCTTTGTACATTAACATGCTTGAGCCCAATAAGAGAAGCGACACCGAAAACTGGCCTTCAGAACGCCACCTTCACCTGAGTGAGGTGAGTGCCAGACACGGCCTTCTTGGCCACGAAGTGCTTCTGAATGAAGTCTAGAAGGAAACCGACGTATGCTGCCCTCCTTTCCGCAGCAGCGCGGCAGGCTCCTCCGCAGTTCTGCAGCGTTGCCTGTGTAAAACACCAAGTTCTGACGAAAGAGTGGACGACCACAGGGCAATGCAGTAGCGTTACAACTCAACAGGCCAAAGAGATTGCATTAGTGTACAGCACCAGACTCGTGACATTTCAAATTTTCATCAGCGTAAATAAGAGACACTACGCGTCACACACACAGAAGTGCATAACCATTTCCCGCAATCAGTTATGTAGCTATTGTCTTTTATCAATTTAATTGAAAAAAAAAAGTACACTTGCTCCATTTCTTTCTTGCCATGGCAAGAGCCAACAGCAGTCGTCGTGTAAGCGTACAAAGATATACAACCGAGTCATTCAAAACAAGTCTTTATTCATGCTGCAGAAGCTGTAACTGCCCTTGTCTCGAAATTATGCCTACACTATCTCTTTCACGCTACTACATAATATTCTCACAACTTAACAATGTTCAAAGATTGAAGGAAACAAATCTTTTAAACATGCTGAAGTATTCACAATCCCAACAGGTATGATACTATCACAACACTACAACCAAATGCTGCCTGACCACATTCAGTTTCAGTCTGGAACATAACCTGCATGAGGCTGGTAAGTGCCATGCCAAGTGATTTCTCTAATTATACATCAGAACAAGTTCAACTGTTTTCTGGCAGCGCTGAGGCTCAAATGCTGTACTACATTCACATAGGCCAAATATCGGGTATTAGCCATAGGCTAAACAAACACTATATTTGGTAGCGCATTGAACACGTTCCCGCGCGAATGCACCCACAACAAGGCTCTCCAACATTTTAAATGTTTTCTTCCTCCCAATATCAGCAGCCAAACTTAGGTTTCATGTAGTAGGGCAGATGAAAGCCTGTGCTGTAGTTTTTCACTTCATTTATTTACTACCGCTGCTCACAACAGTGCACATCTTAAAGAGGAATTATATAGCAGGAAAACGAGAGCTTTTTGTCATCATGCCAATTGAGAAAATGCACCCAGAAGCACAAGTAAACCAACACGCCATATGTTAGTACAGTCGAACCCCTTTATAAGAGGCACTGATATAAGAGACAAGTGGGTATAAAAGACGGCAGCATACCCACAATAAAATACGGGTTGATAAGAAAATGCATACGAGATACCCTGCTTATAAGAGACATCTTGTATAAAGACAAGAATTGCTGCCCGGAGTATGCCTGTTATAAAGGGGTTTAACTCTACCAGTTTGTGAAGCTTCCTTCATCAACGAGTTCCTGGTGAATTGTTGTTTTCTCATTGGCACCAGCTAAGTAGAACCTATTGCAACCGAGGTGTGGATAGTTTAACTCTCACAAGATTTGACACCAGTAAACTTTATAAGCACCCAAATAATGCAACGTTTTACAGCTAAAGCTGTTATGAGATCAAAACTCTGGTCACGTGTGGTGCCTTAAGTTACCGCCGCCACCGGAGTCCATAACTGCTATCATGAAATAATAATAATAAAAAACTAGTACCAAGGACACAGTGGGGCTTGAACCTAAGTTCTCTGCGTGCCAGCCCAGTATACTACCACTGAGCCACCCTGGTGCTTGGGGCTTGTTCGCAAACTTGCCTTAAGCAGGCTTGATGTCAAGAAAGGAATCACATTAATATGAGTAATAAAGCGTTTTAGAACAGCAAAAGAACAACCAGGTGTCACACAATGAGAATAGCGTAACGAGTGGGTCATCCACTGCTCCAACCCATCACAAAAGCTTGTTTTCGATTACTTATTTACTGTGGCGCATACCCACTTCAGGCATGATTTCTCATCACCGTCGGTCACTGCAAGAGCAATTGGCACAAAATTCCTTGCAAGTGTTAAAACGACACAATGCTTCTCAGAAGAATGACGACAAATAGCATAGTGAATGCTGGTCTACTACCCAGAAATTATTATTAATGCCGTAGTGGGTACCCAGCAAGTGTGCTTGCAGCAGTTACCCAATGAGTGTTTAGAAAAGGCCCTGAAATGCTACTCTTCTAGCTTTTGCTGTGACATTGCTGCGCCTTCCGAGCAGGCCTGGTGTTTTTTTTTTTAATAAAGCGTGGTAGACAGCGTCCTTCACTTCAATCAGAGATATTCTAAAAAAAAATTTAAAATGACCTTTTAAAAAAACTATTCTTGAACTTCATCCTTTTGGCAAACTACTTTGTACATACCAGAAAAATTATGGAGTATAATGGTGAGAGTGAAAAGCATGAGAATAGTGAAAGGAAAGCTAAAATATGAAAGTCAATACGTACTGACTTCAGTTTAACTTGTTTGCAGCAATATATTTCTGAAATGAAGGTATTTTGTACCATTTAACATGTTAGTGATTTCTTTTCTCAAAGGTTCTTCCACAGCTAAGAGAAATAAAATAACCATAACATTGCATTTCACAGATTCTTTGTTGGTACCAAATATTGTGAAAAAGTGGGCTCAAAGTCAAGAAACTGCAAATTTGGTGGGAAAATGTTTTGCTTTTCAGCCAAAGTTAGTGCCCTTTTTTTCTTTTTGGTGAAAAAAAGATTGATTCTTCACGAAAGTACAATAAGTTTGAAATAATTGTTCTTGGTCTCAAACGTATCCTTTGAATAAATATAATTGAAATCGGGAAGAGTGAAGAGACCATTTTTATCTGGACATGCTCAGCTGAAAACACAAATGAGCAAATAAGCTCATCTGCCAAACTCAAGACCTGAAAGCAAAGCCACACCTAGGGAATGATGGTAGATAATGACAGCCAGTAATTGCGGAACAAATTTTATCTGTTGCATCTCGCTCCTAAAACATGCCAGCATGTGCTCCCGAGCAGTCAGAAGTGGTTATGTCAGTTTAACAATATACTACTTAACATACAATGAGTATAAAATCTGAGGAGTCAATCTACTTTGACTTAACTTCAAATTCAAAGCACATACCCTATTAGGTCAAGTAAGTGCACTGTGGGAAGGCAACTGTGAAAGCAATCAAAACAGTAAAGCACTCAGCACTACAAATGCTCACTCACCAAAAGAGGATGCTCTCCAGTGTGGTGGATGGAGCTCTGAGTTTGCTGTGGAAACAAAAATTTCACAGAGTATTACGACACTGCCTAATGAGAATTCTGAGCACAGCTATTTAGGCGTTTGGATTTTGCAATAAGCTGAGCAAATCAAGGTGACGGGACACGGCACGTGTGGGAATACTATATAATGGCCAATTTTCGCATCATTGTAATGTCGTGAACCTGGCATTGCCAGTTTGCACCACCGCCAGCTCACGCCAGTGCTGCGCCGGACTATAATGAGCCCTTCAGAGTCCGCTAGAGTGTTTTCCACAGAAAAGTGCTTTTAAATTACACAGAAAGATGGTAACAAAAGAAAGCCAGTAAGCACACGATGCCGTGCTACTAACAAGTGGAATATCTTATTCATAGCCATATTTTACAATGGTTGAAATTAATTTAAAAGCAATGAATTCAAACCAACTCACCTATGTTTCAATCGTTCTAAGTGTCCCTTCTACCAACACACGTCTCCTTCTCTCAAGCCTAGCAGGTCAACCCAATCACTCATGCCTTAGTGAGAAAGGTACAAGTTGCACTGTCACGAGAAGAATGAGCAGGCGCAAGAAATGGCAGACTCTTCACACAGCGGCTTGCTGGCTGTCATAATGGAATACTCTGCTACAGTCTCCCTTTTGCTCTTACGTAACATTCGCTCTATCCATTAGGTTGACAATGATGATGCCACTCAATGTCGAAACAAGGCGCCAAGAGCTGCCCCCTAAAATGAGCAAATGTAACAGCATTCGGTTTTCCCTTCTCAATAACGAAAATAGCGTGCAGTTAAAAAGCATTGCAGGTCGCAGGACAACAACCGATGGAACAGTGGTAATGGCATTTGAAGCTTCGCACAGGACGTACCGTAGGGAACAGTGGCAAGTAGTGAACTACGATGTCCTTTAACTTCCTCTCGATGTAGGCATCCGTCTGTGGGTTCAGCGACAGCAGTCCGCAGATGAACTGCAGCGCAGGAAGGTTACAATGACGAGACCACCATACACAAAACTCCCTTACAAAGTTCTGTTGAATGAGTAGAATATACATGCAAATATCGAGCCCATATCTGCACATAGTAAAACCTATGAAAAATCAAAACATGACGTGTGCATATCACAATCAAGATACCAACACTGACGCACTATAAAGTTGGCTGTTGCATTTTTTTTAGTGTCACTAGAAACCCTGCCTATTCATAAACACAAACTCACATACAGAAGGCAAACTTCAACTTAATAAACTGTGTGCGACAAACGCTAGTTTCGCCATCCAACCAAAAAAATAAAAGCTAGAAAATGTATCTTTTAATGAAAAGTAAAGCGCAGCCTTTCTATGTGTGCTTTCAAGCAAAAGCATGACTACAAAAACACAAAGCATTTAGAGTGCTTCACTTGCAGCCAGCATCGTTTCTCATCACATGCTTGTGCAAGATGTCGAGCTATATCCACGGCCACTTAGAATGTTTTGGGGAAGCACAAGCAGCCATTTTGAAGGTTTTGGTTCCTGACATAACTAGCCATGCCCCTGCGTGAGGTCACCAGAATTAGTACTGCAGCATGGCATGAAGCTAGTGTCGATGTTGGTAGGTGCGCCATAGGAAAACTGACTTCAGTATCAAAATAAAATGACCACTTTTGCTGAGCTTCACACTTCACCACAGCATACAGGAGATTTTTACAACAATGTAAACTGGTCTTCGAAGAATGGCATCAGTATTCCTCTGATATGAGTGGCATAGACGACTTACAAACATTTCTAGAAAGAAAAAAAGAGAAGTGTTTCAACAAAGCACAAGGATACGAAGAAGTACACACATGATGCACGGTTTAATCTTTCTGCTTCATTAAAGCACTGGCTTCTCAAAAATTTGACCTATGTTTCAACCATCTATGATGACAAACAATCTATCATCAACCAACCCACTAGCTCACTGGTATGTAAAAGTATACAAGAACCTGATGCTCTCTTAATGCTTTTCGCCACTGAGTGCCCTCCTACTAACACTGCATTTGATATTAGTACTGCAGATCCCACCCCTCTTCCATGACAGCGCATCATTACATTCAGTGTTTCTTGCGGCATGAATGACACGAGCTCCCTCTCCAAAGCAGTTCACCCTCAAGAAGGGCCGAGCATCAGGCCCGGGTATGCCCGTTTCGATACGCTACTGTTTATTCAGGTCAGCCCACCAGGACTTAGAATAGCAGTGAGCCAGTTGCTGTTCATGTTGAAGGACAGGGCGTGCAAACAAGGACGTGGGAGAGAAGTCGAGACAACTCAAAACACCAGCGCTTGTGTCTTTGTTTGCACAGCCCCTCTTTTTAGCTTGTGACCTAGCGCATCTTGGAGAAAAGCAAAAAAGCGTTATACGCCAGAGGTGTGTGAACAGAAATTTCTGAGACCAAATCGAATATGAATCGAACAGTGACAGAATCAATAGTGTGAATTTCATTCTGACTAAATTTTGAATTTTGGGCAGCTTGTTCTTGCCGTTAACGTAAAATGTTCACAATGTAGAGTTTAAAATTTTAGCATCAAATGTGGAAATCGAGCATCAAAAACAAATGAGCAGGCTCTTCACATTCATAGAGCTGTTCAAAAAGAGTAAAGGATCATTGCATAAGCGGTTAAGTGACACTCCGCTTCTGAAAGCCTGCCACACTATGCGAGATATTATGGTTCATACATACGACAGACCCACACAGATGGCATCTGTCATACTTTTGCACCAACTTTTGTATGTTTTGGTACAGGCGAGAATTTGAAATATTTGTATTCAATTCAAAGATAAAATCGAATCAGTGCCTATTAAGATCAAAATTCAAAATGTTGAAACATTCGCGCACGCTTTTTACATGGTCATTCCCTGAATTTCTTTACAAACTCGGCCTGGAATAACACAAAGAAGGCCTCACTCACCAGAGGCAAGTGCTGTTTGATGGCAGCCAGCTGTGCCTGGGGGATGGGCTTCCCGGCATACAAGGCACCAGGCAGGATCAATGAGTCCAGCAGCCTAGGAAGCACACAGTCGGCCATGCCCTGCAGACGCAGGAAGGCAAAGATGGAAGCGGAAAGGATAGCTATTCTTGATAGTACTTACAAATGAAGTCAGAATAGTTGTGACAGACACACAAAAGAGAACTGATATCAGGCTGTTGTGCCCACCCTCCAACCTCGAAACTGGCACTCCGCAAGCCCATACATGCATGTGGTATTCAACAATTCTAAGAAACTATGTTCCTAATGAAAGCGAGAAAGCAAGAGCAAGATTAATGGTGTGTGGCGAAACGGTTCTGCGCCGCTTCTGCGCCTGCGCGTCGCGGCGATGCCTCCAAACACGGGCACCGGTGATAAGAACACTCTCGCCAGAAAGAAGCAAGAAAACTGTGTGTGTGCCCTGATTCAAGAGGCAGTTGTTATAGAACCGTCGGTGTGGAAACATTAAAGCTATGTTATCCCACATCTGGTGACCCGGAAAACGAACGTACTGCACCGCCATGGCCGACGAAGAAACCCTTGCTGCCCTTCAACAACATGTACAACAATTGCAACAACAACTGCAGGCCCAGCAGCAAGTGATCCAGAACCAAGAGCAGCAGCTCCGGGAGCAGCAGCGCAATGAAAATGAAGCGCTCTCATCCGACAACCGTGCACCGCCCCACTTGGACCACGCCCCCCAAAACTTCGCTCCAGCGGTCCCTGCCATCTCATGCGCCTCCATTTCTGCAGCCGCCACCGACACGGACGTCTGTCGCGTCGCCGTCAAACTTCCACCGTTTCGGGCAGAGGTGCCTGATGTGTGGTTCGCTCAAGTCAAGGCACAGTTTTCCACGGCACGCATCACCCATGATGACTACCTCGTCGCCCATCTAGACTCTCGCTATGCAGCTGAGGTTCGTGATATACTTGAAAATCCCCCGGCTTATGACCGTTACCTACACCTGAAGAGGGAACTGTCCCGCCGACTTTCACCTTCACAAGATGAAAAGGTGCATCACCTACTCCAGCACAAAGAACTCAGTGACCGCAAGCCATCACAGCTCCTGCGTTACACGCGTGACCTCTTGGGCAGCACCCCGGTCGACGACTCCCTCCCCCGTATCATCTGGCTTCAGCGTCTACCCTCACATGCGCAGGCCATCATCTAGGTGCAGCCGAGTCCGCCCCTGGACCAGCTCTCTCACATCACCGATCAAGTTGCCGAGATTTTGTTGCCAGCATTGCCTCTCACCGTCAACGCCGTTGACACCCGACAGTCCAGCAGCGAGCTCGCACGCCGTGTCGATGAAATCACCCGTCAGCTGGACTCAATTCAAAGGCGCCTGGATCAAAGCCTGAAGCTGCGTCCACAAAAACACTCCCAAAGCCAAGACAACAACGCCGTTTCATCGCACGGAAATGATAACGGCCCCTGCTACTACCACTCGGATGAACACGAATTGAGAGGCCCGTTACTTCCAAGGAGCTTCGTCAGCGGTGATACGATCGTGGCAAAGTTTCGTATGAAGTGTCAGAAGTATGAGGACAGGCCCACGAAACTACGCAGTTATTTGACAGATGCAGGTTTGGTAAATTCGGACAAGGCCTGAAGCTTGGCCGGATCAGTAGAAAAATGTCGTCCTTGGACACGACGTACCCTAGGATGGTGAGTTGCCGTGCGGCATGCGGCACTTCTTCAGATTTAGTTGCAAGCCGGCATTGCTCACACGTGCGAAAACTTCTTTCAGACGTTGGAGATGCGTGGAGAAATCTGGAGCGAAGACAATGGCATTGTCGAGGCAACACAAGCACGTGTACCATTTCACGTTGTGCAGAACGGTGTCCATCATGCGCTCAAAGGTCGCAGGTACATCACATAGACCAAATGGCATGATGTTGAACTTGTACAAGCCGCCTGGTGTGACGAAGGCAGTCTTCGGTCGAGCATTGTCAGCCATGGGTACTTGCCAGTACCCCGAGTGCAGATCGAAAGAAGAAAAAGAAATCGGCTCCGCAAAGGCTGTCAATCACGTCATCGATGCGTGGCAGTGGATAAACATCCCTGCAAGTGATCTTATTGAGCCGTCTGTAGTCCACACAGAACCGCACAGAAGTCGTTTTTCGCAACAAGAGCAACAGGAGACGCCCATGGACTGTCCGAGGGCCGAATAACATCGCGTCAGAGCATATCGTCGACCTGCCTATTAATTACCCGACGTTCAGCAGGCGACACGCGATATAAACGTTGCCGTAAAGGTAGATGGGCACCAGTGTCAATGCGATACATAACAGCGGATGTGCGACCGAGAGAACTTCGCCCGACATTGAAAGAAGAACGATATTCTTGCAACAGGTCCAGAAGTTGGGAACGCTGTACGCCGTAAGGTTGTCAGGGATGGAGGGGCCAAACACATCAGCATATAACGTATCAGAAGTGGAAACAGCATTGATGGTACGCAACCTGGGACAACGCGTGTCATCGGGTACATTAAGGAGTTGTCCGTCGTTGACTGGTTGCACTCAGCCGAGACATTCCCCTCGAAACAAGGTAACAGTATACGGGGATGGGTTGGTTACAAAAATAGCGGCGTTGCCCAGGTTGACCTGCACGGTCGCGTGAAGTACTAGCAACTTTTTCCTGCTACAAGCGCGGTTAGATGGCGAAACGAGCGCGATTGTGTCGGAGAGACCGGCGCAGTAGACCGACACGGCCATCGTTGAGTTTGGAGGCACTGTTGTATCGTCTTTCATTAGAATCTTGCTCAGTGTCGAAAGACTGTCTTTTGGCGTCAAATGCGAGAAGAGTGAGAGTTCAATTTCGGCGGCGGCACAATGAATGACGCCGTCATGGTGGGAGAGAAAGTCCTATCCCAGGATGACGTCATGAGAGCATGCCGGAATGATGATGAACTGGGCGACATACAGAACGTCCTGAATGACAACGTGAGCTGTACACCCTGCTGTAGGATGAATACGATGCGAACTAGCAGTACGGAGAGACAACCCAGAAAGTGGCGTTGTCACTTTTCAAAGTAAGCGGCAGAGTTTTTCGTCAAGAACTGATACGGCAGTTCCAGTGTCAATAAGTGCCAATGCACAAACACCGTCCACAAGCACGTCAATGACACTCGAGGGGCTGCTCTGAGGGCTTTCACATTGCGGTAGCGTCGCAGTGCTTGCCTCGGGGACTGCGACGACTAGTTTTCCCGCTCATGAGCAGCAGAACTTGGCCACATGGGGACAGGGAACGGCGTCGTGGAGACGGCGACCTTCGAAGAGGTAGACCTGGGCGAGACAGCGGTGGCATAGACAGCAGTTCTTCGTGATAGGGATGGCTGAGCTGGCCAGCAACAGGCGAAGAAATGGGAGCCGGCTGTACACGAGGGGAATAACGGGCTATGTGACCGGCGTAACCGCAGGCAAAGCAGATGGGCCGGTTGTCGGGTGTGCGCCATTGGTTCGCCGGGGTAGGTCTCACCCATGTCGCAAGAGCCTATGGACGGAACGGTGGCTGCAAAGGCTGCATGGTGGGCGGAAGCTGAGGCTGAGGGGTTACGTCAACGTACGTAGCGGGCATACCCGCTGCAAAGGACGGAGGTCGAGCGGCAGCTTCGGCGTAAGTCAGAAGGGCGGGTGCTGGAACGACTTGTGCGGCCTGGCGACCACTTGGGCGTAACTTAGGGGCGCAGGAGCCGGAGGCTGTTGGGGGTGGTACGCAGGCATTACCTCCGCTATTTTCTGCTCAATCGCTCGACAGATGGGAGGGAGAAAGGTAGTAGCCGATTGTTGAACAGCCGGTTGGTGGGCAAAAGGCAGGATAGAAACTGACGCGCGATTTCCTCACGGATGAAGGACTTTAGGTCTGCCATCAACGCAACTTGGTCACAACTGGCCTCCAAGCCAGCAAGCGTTGCAAGTTGTGATGGGGAGCCACAGGTCATCGAACGCTGCTGGCGGAGCTCCTCGTAGACCTGGCACAGTGTAATGACCTCAGCCACTGTGCCGGGGTTTTTGGAGAGCAGCATCTTGAAGGTATCATTGTCAATGCCTTTCATGATGTTTCAGATTTTGTCAGACTCGGCCACGGTGTGATTGGATTTGTTGCATAAGTCCAGGACATCTCCAATATAGCTGGTGAATGACTCACCAGCCTCCTGAGTGCGTTCATGTAAGCGCTACTTGGCTTGCAGCTTGCGAACAGCAGGGCGGGCGAAAATGTTGATGATAGCGGTCTTAAAATCAGACCACGTTTCAAAATCGGACGTGTGGTTATTGTACTACAAACTGGCAATGCCCGCAAGGTAGAACACCAAGTTGGTCAGCTTGCCGTCCTCGTCCCATTTGTTGGGGACGCTCACGCGCTCGTAAAAGGCGAGCCATCAGCGCCTGTGAAGATGGGTGGATCTCGCATCCTGGGGGGACACCGGACAAGGGGGTGGCATGGGAGGAGGCATTTGCTGGGAGGCGTCGTGGGACATGCTAGATGGCAGGGTACGTGATCGTAGCTCCAAGGGCATCGAAGGGGATTGCAGCAGTCTTCACCAATTCTTTAAGGCGTTTATTAGCTGGCAACCAGCGAGCATACACAATGGCAACAGTCACGGCGAAGTTCGGAGGCTTCGCTACAATATATTGTACAGTCGAGCCCACATATAACGGCCCCACGAACTTTCGCTGAAAACGAACAATATCCGCGTGACCGTGAAAATATACATTGGTTCAATGGCGCAAAATCGCAGTTACAACGAACGTCTCCGAGCGCCGCTGATCAGTTACAGCGAAAGGAGTTAGCGGTCTGCCGACTTCCCAGGAAACCAATTTCGAACAACGATCAGGCATCGGCGAGGTGCCCATACACTCTAATTGTTAAACGCCGACCCCGCCTTCGCGCCCCTCTAGTTAACGCTCTCCCCGACCACGTTTGATATGCACCCCTCCATCCTTTGCCCCCCACGCTACTCATTCCGCATCGCCAGACAAGACCCGTGTTTTCACACTGCCACCAGTCTTTCGAAAACCGATCGGCCATCTACCTCGTTTTTGATCGCTGGTACTGTCGTTGACGACGCCGGCCTGGAGTGATCAGACCATTTGCCAACATCGCCGGCCATAGAGTGTATCCGATAGCTTAATTCTAGTGTACGCACATACGCTACCCCACCGACTCTGATAATAATTTGTGATTCGCTTCGTGTTTAGGGCTTGTTTTCACTCACGTCGCACTCGGCTCAGCATGCCTTTCGCGTGAGTGCGGAAGCGCGAAAACAGCTGTTAATTTGCATGGAACGAATCGCGAAATATCATAGTACGTGAGGCCATGCAAACCTGCCGGCACAACAAACCGATTTTTTCACCACAACCGCCAGTTCTTCAAACACCGCCGCGCGTACAGATTCAGGCAGCCATGCACTCTTTCCAAGTTTTTCTACGTGTGAGTTTCGCAAACCTTTCAAGCAAGCTACCCAACCTGCCTCTTTCCCATGTGTTTTGGTTTCCAAGTCGCCCTCCCACAGCATCCTCCCCTCTCTTTATCGCAACTTCTTGCCCTTCTCTTGCAAGTCTGCCCTCCTCTCTTGATCACAGCTCTTTCGCCCGTTTCCACCGTTCCGCGATGCCTGCAATGCTGGCTCGAATTAGTTTCGTTTTCTGACTGGAAACGGGCCCAGAGCTGTTCCACGCGTCCTGGCATGTGTGTCGCGTGTGCACGTATTGATCGCTCTTGGTGTGTGTGTGGTCATAATGGCCGACGGGAGGACTAGCACGCTTTTTCATGCCGCTCAACAAAACGTCGAAAGTGTGACCGCTTGGCTTGAGCCTAATCCGCGCATTAGGTGCGGCGTTCCGGAGCGCTTGCTCATAGCTGTTGACCACCTGCAGCCAACTTGCCGCTTTGGGCGTCCCGGTATTCAGCTGTGGAGATGGTGAATATTTCGTGGGCGGCGGTGACGGCTACATGCGCGCGAAACTGTTTTCGCGAGGCCGACTTTGTCGACGTCGGGCCCGATGCCGAGCCTGACGCTTCCGAACAGAACCACTGCGGCAACGATTTGTGGCAGTGCGTCGTCACTCCGACTTAGGAGAGCGAGTGGGACATCTGTTGCGATGGTTTAATTACGGCCGATGATGATGCCGACACTGCGGAACCGTGCACGGATTAGGGCATTGTGAATGAAGTATGTGGCGAGAGCGATTTTGAGGAATCGGACTGCGGGAACGACGAAACTTTGGAGTCAGTGCCTCATGCAGCTTATGCCACATGCCTCGGCGAACGAGCACCCTTCCATTTTAAATGAACTTGAAACCGCCCTTATCGCTTCTGCTATTCGAAACACGTGCATCACGGACTTTTTGGGGCATAAAAAGTTTGTGTTTTCACTTGCAATTTTTTTTAGAGCTGTGTTTCATTTACTACGAACTTCGGGATACAGCGAACGAATGCCGCGTCACGCTCAGGTTCATTATAAGCGGGCTTGACTGTATATAACTCAACCTTATTTCGAAATTATTAGGCCACAATGACTATTCGCTTTAAACTTCGAATTCACTATTCGCACAAGCCTAATCATTAGAGCTTGGGAGGTCACATGACAGCTGCACACTTAATTGTTGCTATGACATGATGATAAATTATAGCTCAGTCCCCTGTAATAAGTTTGCAGCTTTCAACTGCCCAGTTATTACGCAACTCAGCGTGTGATCTGCTAATGTGATTCTTTGCCTGCCATGACTGTGTAGGGTCAATTTTCAAAGGAGTTTCAAGCAATAGCATGGCTCTTTGGTAGAACTCTTGAATGATTGCAGAATATCTTGATGTGATTGCTATGAAAATTTTCAGGCTTCATCTGATATTTTTATGTTAAGGTGACGAGGGTCTTTGTACTGCACGCTACGTTTTTCTTCTCACAATGCACTCAAGGCTTCTTTGTCTCAAGAGTACGGATGGCACGAAGGACAACAAACTTTTGGCGCGTGCTGTAGAGGCAAGTTTGCCAAACGAGGGAAGTGAGAACGATAACAGAACAGAAGCAATCATAGCTGGCCTCCAGTGGTTAAATTAACAGACAACGAATTACAATGCTTTTGCTTTTATGCAAATGCTAATATCAAAACTCTGTCTCACTCTGGTATAGATGAGGCCTGCACACAGACGAAACAGCTGGCCACACAGGAGGTACACATTTCCCAGGCTGTCACGCGTTGCCGCTGCGGCAGCAGCGTTTCGCGACTGAGCCGTTGCCACGGCAACAAAGTCTTTGAGGTAGTAGGCTACGCTTTGCCTCAGCTGAGTCAGTGACGAGATGCCATCCATCGCACAAACGATGTCGGCGTACTGTGCCAAGCAGTCGAAGAAGTGGACGGCAAGGTCGTCGTGCGCCGTCACCTCGTCCGAAGGCACGATGGTGGCCGCCAGACTGTTGTAATTGGCAAACTCTCTGCGGCCTAGCACAATCCTAGAACAATGTAAACATAAAATTAGCATGCTGCGCTAAAAACCTGAGAAATACAAGTGTCGCTCAGTGTCTTTTTTATCCTTTACTCGCAAAGACTGCGCTCTTTTTCAAATGCTTTCTTTTAATTCTACATCCCCGAGGCGAGAAGAATATTACTAAACTTCAATCTTGTATGAGCCACTGCGGCAGTGACGTCATCTACAAATTCTTGCTTGGAGTGTTTCTATATTTGCCATCATAATTAGCAACCTTTGATTTCAATATTTGCTGTTTGCATCCCCATTCAGCCATTTATATGCAAAGAAAAATCATTACCTTGAGAGTCGAGTCATTTCCGAATTTGGCGGCTCCACGCCTACACAGCAGCGGAGCCAGGCCTGGACAAGTCTTGCATCGCTGTTTGTGACACGCGACTCTAGCTCAAAGCACGCCTGGTCATCTTCCAGCACCAGGCACAGGAAGCGGCCGGATGCGCTGCAATGTCAAAGCAAGGGTTGAAGAAGTCACACTGTCCAGCCCATGCGTGTTTGAGCATAGTATTCTAAAGCAGAAGCAAAAAAATGTTATCAAATGAGACGACAGTTGAAACAAGCATCTTCTGAGACAGAAATACTTCGAGAATACCTAATGTATACTACAAACATGCACACTTACATTATGCCCGAAGCTCACAGGATCAAATCCCAAATGCAACAGCTACATTTAAATGGAGGCAGAACTGTAGAGGCCCACGTACTTAGATTTGGATGAATGGTAAAGAGCAACTGATGGTCAGAATTTGTGAAGTTCTCCATTATGTATACCGTCCTTTGTAATCTTATTCCATGATCACTTGCATTACGAATAAATTAATAGTGCACCACTTAACAGGAGGATGGCAAGGGATAGACATTCACTGTGTAGCTGACTAACGTGCTTCTACGAGTGATCAAGTGAAGCACTGAGCTAGAAGAACAATAAGCGATGAGTAGCGTAATATGTTTCGAGAATAACAGTCCATTCCCCTTGCGCTTTCCTTGGCTGCATTGTCTGTTTTCTTTGTATGATTTGCAACAAATCAAATACTATAAGCCATCGTTATGGCACCCTGTTACACACTGCCTATACACTTCTTAAAGAGTGCTAGAGATGAAAAAAATAGCATAAAATAATGGAACCACACGAAAGTGTGTTTTGATTGCTTTGCATGAATGGATTTTATAATGCTACTCTCTTTTGATGGTGATAACGGCAATGCTTCTTGACGTTTCTCACCTGCATATGGGCAATGCAACAAAAAACCCTCACACTCTTATCCAACCAGTGTGCTTGGACCCTAAAGCCTAAAGCCTGCGCAGATATTTTTAAATAATACTGAAGAGCAGCCATGCATGTTTATTGCAGTACTTGAAACTCGTAATAACAAAGTTGCATCTTACTTGAAGATAGGTTTGTTATATTCGAAGATTCGTTATAAAGGTATATTCCTAACACTATATTTAGGGCAAGACCAGTCTTCATTATTTTGTATAACCAATGTTTTGTTATATATAAGTTCATTATACCAAGGTTTGAGTGTACTTGTCCACAGTTGCATGCCGATTACAATGTAGGGTGCTGGCAACACTGCACATAGCATGACATGACGCAGGAGTAGAGGGCATGCTGCAAGTGAAATGAGAACAAGCATGGGCTTAACTTACCTGGGATGCGTGTGGGGCGAACACCCAAAATGCTCAAAGAGACTCCCAAAGTTCGCTTTTACTGGAACTGCCTGCGATGACGGCCTGAAATAAGCAGAAGAAATTGCCGCAATTTCACATTGCACAGCACTTCCCTCACATAGCCGTCTCTAGCGCTTTTTTTACCTGGCTGCAAACAAATGTTTAAAAAATTGGGGGACCCTTAAGCTTTGCTTCTAAAAGTTGAACGCGATAGTGAAATCCGGCCCCTAGTGTACCGTTCAACCGCTAAGTGCTTACTTATTATTACACACGCGCACGCACACAAACGCGTGCGTGCACAAGTGCGACGTATCTATAGTAATGGAGCAGATTTTCGATCTATTTAAGAGCACTTTTATAACAACTTCATGAAAATATTGCCACGTTCTTGTTCTCAAGTTTTGTTATCGCTCCAATACACTATGTAATTCTCAGTGCAAACTGCACCTACAGTCATCGAGAAGCTTCAGGACTGTAGTAGATCATTTTGATAAGATCACGTCCACTCTCCAAACTGTACAGATTATTCTGGAGCCTACGTCAACGCTAGCGATAACGCTAGAACTTTCGACGGCAAGTGTACAAATGCCGACGCGCTTCACCGCTTGTCAGTTGATCGACGGCTGACGATCCATTCGCCGCTATCAGTGCAGGTCTGCTACTGTAATCAGACTTTCCGTTCACCGGGCACATGTTCGCCCAAACAAACAGTTGAATCCCAAGATAAAGTCTCCTGCCTTCGGCTACGTCACGACCCCGTAACATCTGGTGGAGGTGCTGCTTCGTTTATGTTCCGGACGCCCCCTTCAAGCCGCGAGTCTAGCCCAAGCAGCAAAGAAGACACGGACGCCAACCCTGAACAGTGCACAAGCCGCAGGCAGAGGGGACTACAATCAGAGTACGGGCCCCTTCCTGAAGCAGCCAGGCAGACCCGGATTCCGACATCAACTACAGCAACCATGACCACCCCCGTGCAGCCTGCCCCAGTCATTCTCCGGCAGCCCAAGGAACCCCCAACGTTCCATGGATCGTCAGGCGAGGACCCAGAAAGCTGGATCGAAATATACGACCGTGTCGCCGCCTTGAACAGCTGGGACCTCGAGGAAAAATTACGCCGCGTCTATTTCTACTTAGAAGATGCCGCGAAGACGTGGTATGAAAACCACGAATCCACACTACGAACCTGGGAACTCTTTCAGACGACGTTCCTGCACACGTTCACGAGCGTCGTCCGCAAGGAAAGGGCTGCCACATTGCTGGAGACAAGGGTGCAACTTCCTAATGAAAGGAAGTGGCACCCTCTTCGTCAAAGAGATGACCCGGCTCTTTTGACACGCCGACTCCAACATGGCTGAGGAAAAGAAGCTCCGGTTCCTCATGCGCGAAGTCAAGCAGGATCTGTTTGCGGGACTTGTCCGGAATCCGCCGAAGACTGTCAGCAAATTTCTTGCCGAGGCCACAACTATAGAAAAGGTGCTTGAGATGCGCACAACGCAATACAACCGCCGCGCCTCATTGAACTGTGCTTATGACTTCAGTACCCACGACCTGCGCGAGATGATTCGAGCAATCGTACGGGAGGAACTGCGGAAGTTGTTGCCTTCAACGCAGCCTCAAGCCAATTCGATCGCTGAAATTGTCCGCGAAGAAGTTCGGCAGTCGCTTGGAATCGCAGAAGCACCGCAGCCTGAACCGGAAGCAATGAGCTACACCACTGCAGTGCGCCGCAACGCTCCTCCACGCCCTCGTCAGGACACAGCCCCGCCAGACACCGCCCCCACCCCCGCCGACGCTATACCGCCCGCCGGCCGGCCAGCACTTCAAAAAAGACTGACGTCTGGCGCACCCCCTGACCACCGCCCACTGTGCTACCACTGCGGCGAGGCTGGGCGCACTTACCGCCGTTGCCAGTACCGACAGATGAGACTGTGTGGCTTCGCCGACAATGCACCACGCCCGCAGCCAGGGGAACGGCCACGTGACATCGCCGACTACCTTACAGGAACTCAGTGGACACCACGAAGTCCTTCCCATTCGAAGTCGCCCAGCCGTCGCATGTCACCGCACCACCGGCAGTACTGTGGCCTAACGCAGGGTCGGTCTCCTAGCCCGTATCTGGGAAACTAAGGGCAGCAACCGATGGAGGGGCGGTTGCTGTGCGACGAACTACCGAAGATCCTCCGACGACGCTGACGACGCGATGGAGCTTTCCGAACAAGACGCCAACCAGGCAAAGTCCTGACAGCCAAACCTCATTTACCGAAGGTGACCTGACGACGCAACATGGAAGCAGCGGAACAAGCCGACGTAGCCGTGACCCGACGCCACGCCGTAACTGTAACGCGAGACTGCGAACTAGTGACCTCGGCGTTCTTATCGACGGCCACAGTGTGACCGCTCTTGTCGATACTGGAGCCGACTATTCCGTCATCAGTGGGCCGTTCGCCGCGAAGTTGAAGAAAGTTAGGACAGCTTGGGAAGGCCCCGAAATCTGCACAGCGAGAGTCACCATTAACGGCCGTATTTTTCCTGCAGACTTCATAGACCTACAGCTTTGCTCGAAAGATGTCATCCTTGGCATGGACTTCTTGCCTCTATGGTGCTGTCATCAACCTAAGAACAAAGTCGATAACGTTATCCACAGAAGCACTACCCCCGCGCACGCCGTCAGGAAACCATACCTTGAATGTGCTGGAAGAACAAGTCACCATTCCGCCTCGCTCCAGCGTCATTATTTCAGTCGGCGCTCCTGAATCACCTGACTTGGAAGGCATCGTTGAAGGCAGTCAGCATCTCTTGGTCACCCGCAATATTTGCGTCGCAAGAGGAATTGCAGAGCTGCGGGGAGGCAAAGCAACGGTTATACTCACCAATTTCAGCAATGAATACAAACACGTGAACAAGGGGACGACGGTCCCATACATCGAAGAAATCGTGGAAGCCGCCAGTGCTTTCTCCCTCGCCGATCCTGTGGAACCTGCTCAGAGAAACTAAGCCCCTCTCTCAGCTTTCGACGTCAATCCCAGCCTTCCAAACCATAAGCAAGAACAGCTCAAGACCCTGCTCCTGCAATACGAAGACTGCTTTTTGTCGTCATAAAAAATTAGGCAGACACCAATCACGAAACATCGCATCATAACCGAGGAAAATGACAGACCACTGCGTCAGGGTCCGTACAGGGTTTCGACGCGAGAACACGAGGCCGTGAAGACACAAGTTGATGCAATGCTACGGGACGACATCATCCAGCCGTCCAAGAGTCCATGGGCATCCCCCGTGGTGTTAGTGAAGAAAAAGGATAGGACCCTACGTTTCTGCATCAATTATCGCCGCCTGAACAAAATAAAAAAAAAAGGACGTGTATCCTCTCCCACGAATAGACGACGCACTGGATCGGCTCCATAACGCCAAGTACTTTTCGTCAATGGATCGCAAGACTGGCTATTGGTAAATTGAAGTCGACGAAAGAGATCGAGAGAAGACGGCGTTTATAACACAGGACGGCCTCCTCGAGTTTAGGGATGCCCTTCGGTCTTTGCTCAGCACCTGCAACTTTTCAACGCGTTATGGATTCAGTACTGGCAGGATTGAAGCAGCAGACTTGCCTTGTGTACTTGGACGACGTCGTCGTGTTTTCCTCAAGTTTCGATGAGCATCTTCGGCGCCTTGAAGCTGTACTTCAAGCCATCAAGACATCCGGACTCACACTGAAGCCATAAAAGTGCAGATTTGCGTACGAGGAGCTCTTGTTCCTGGGGCACGTGATTAGCAAGTCTGTAGTTCGTCCCGATCCACAGAAAACAGCCGCCATCGCAGACTTCCCGCCCCCCACTGACAAGAAGGCGGTGCGCCGATTTCTGGGCCTGTGTGCCTATTATAGGCGGTTTGTGAAAAACTTCGCCCGCATCGCCGATCCACTCAATAACCTTACCAAGGCCGACGTGGTGTTCAAGTGGGAAACGCCGCAGGAACACGCTTTCCAGGAGCTTAAACATTGCCTCCAAACACCTCTGTTACTTGCCCATTTCAACGAATTCGCTGAGACTGAAATACATACTGACGCAAGCAGCGTAGGTGTCGGCGCTGTTCTTATGCAGAGGGCTGACGGACTTGAAAAGGTTATTAGTTACGCCAGCCGATCGCTATCCAAAGCAGATGCCAATTATTCCACAACCGAAAAGGAGTGCATCGCCATCATCTCGGCTACGTCGAAATTTCGCCCCTACCTCTACGGCAGGCCCTTCAAAGTTGTGAGCGACCACCACGCATTGTGTTGGCTAACCACCTTGAAGGACCCTTCAGGTCGCCTCGCACGATGGAGCCTGAGACTTCAAGAATATGACATTACTGTCATTTACAAGTCCGGCAAAAAACACTCCGACGCCGACTGTCTCTCTCGTGCGCCTGTCGACCAACCGCTACCCGACGACCCGGATGACGACTACTTCTTGGGAACGATCACTACCGACGACTTCGCTGAACGACAGCGGGCCGACCCAGAACATAAGGCCCTAATAGAATACCTCGAAGGCAGGACCGCCGAAGTCCCGAAGGTATTCAAGCACGCACTTGCGTCGTTCTTCCTACGAAATGTTCTCCAAAAAAAAAAAAAAAAAAACTTTTCACCGCTTCAAGCCAAGTACCTCCTCGTGGTGCCTTCAGCTCTGCGACAAGAACTCCTGCAGCTCCTGCCCGACGATCCGACGGCAGGGCACCTCGGTGTTTCCCGCACGCTCGCGAGGGTACAAGAAAGGTACTACTGGCCACGTCTTACCACCGACGTCACTCGTTATGTGAGGACATGCTGGGACTGTCAGCGATGCAAGACACTGCCGACAAGGCCAGCGGGACTTCTGTAGCCAATTGAACCACCTTGCCGACCATTCGAGCAGATTGGTATGGACCTACTGGGGCCGTTCCCAACGTCGGCTTTTGGAAACAAGTGGATCGTGGTAGCTACCGACTACCTCAGCCGCTGTGCCGAGACAAAAGCCCTGCCCAAAAGCAGTGCATCCATCTGTGGTAGCTAAGTCATTCGTCGAAAATATCGTCCTACGCCACGGCGCCCCAGAGGTCCTTATCACCGACAGAGGAACGGCATTTACTGCTGACGTAACTCAAGCGATCTTGACATACAGCCAGACAAACCACTGCCGGACGACAGCGTACCACCCACAGACCAACGGCCTCACCGAGTGGCTAAACAAGACGATCGCCGACATGCTGGCAATGTACGTCAATGTCGAACACAAGACCTGGGACGCCATTCTTCCGTACGTGACCTTCGCATACAACACGGCGGTGCAGGAGACAACGCAAATATCTCAATACAAATTGGTCTATGGAAGGAGCCCAGCAACGACGCTCGATGACATGTTACCCAATGGTCGGTGAAATGGCAACTGCAGTATTTCACTTTTTTTAATGATGTCGTGAGAATGAAAAGCTGAATCAATGCAAGTGTTGTGGTTTGTTGAAATGGCATTTCCTTGAAGGGGCATAAAGAGTCTCACAATGTCTCACAGATGGCAGCATATTATTTAGCGTTTGCTGTTTGCTTGGTTCACGCCTCTGGAAAGGCATGATATGTTTTCTACTAGATGAACATAGTTGTCAATTTTTAGAGCTGTTTAAAAGTTTTCATGTGTTTTTAGCGGCGGCGGCTGCACTATCCCGGCCTTTTTCGACGTAGTTTGATGGCCTCCCAAATGCGCCTACAAATCAACGATTGGGCTCGTTTTCGTCGTGACACACGTCGAACGAAATGCCTTAAGGAAACTCCTTCTACTACATGGCATTAATGTAGTGTTTTTTCCCAAAGCAGCAGGAAGTAACATCGTGGCTTTGTGGTAAGACCCCTGCTTGCCATGCGAATCTCCATAGAACCGAGAATTTTATTCTTTATTTTATTCACTTCTTTTTCAATTTTTCGCTCACGGACAGTTTTTTGCTCACAACCAACGGTGCTAATGCCGACGGCAGAATTTCTGCAACACGAGCTCTATAACGCTATCACGTTAAAAAATTCGGGCTATTCCTGCTTTTGCGTAATAACTGTGAGCCAATGAAATTATGGGGTCGTAAAATTTTCAAACTTTAGAACATTTTTTTAATTGTGTTTGCTATTAAATTCGATTCACATTGAAATTTTACTATTCTAACTGTTGGAACTTCTGGAAAATGAATTTACCGGTTTATAACAGAAAAGCCATTGTACATATCATACTGAATGCACCGATTCTGATCCGATAATAATGAAAAACAAATCAGATGATAAATCGACGTGAAGCATGCGTGATCTTGCATTTTAGGACACTGACTCGAGAAACTGCCAGTCACTTTAGCCTGTGCTCCAAGCGGTCGCTGTACAATGAGCTTGACACAGAGTTCTGCGGCTGATGCGTCAACAGCCCATCTATGGCACTGAGAAGCCAGCAGGTGATGAGTTTCATTACTTGCAATGAAAAATTTTGCGGCTTCTTCGCTTTTGCGTGTCCACTAGCGCAATGCTCTTGGCCATAAATTTCAGATTCGTCTCGTACAATGGCGATTTGAGCAGAGTTGACTAAGCCACAATTCCATTCACACTCGCCCGGCCGAGGATGAAAGGATACTCTGTCCAATCTCACTGTGACGAAGCTTCTGTGCCTGATGTTTCAAAGTACGTCATGCTTGATCGCGAGTACAAAGAGTCATTCCGCGATGGCCGTCGTAATGTGGTCTAAAGTGCTGATACGCAGAACAGTCAGACCAAGACACACATGAAACAGAACAAGTGCAGGCACGTGTAAGAATATGCTTATGGATCCTTTGCGACCGTCTTTCTGTAACTTAGCTATGAAGAATTCCAAAATTATTCAATTTGATTTGCATGAACAATTTTATTATTCAAATTCACAAAAGTTTATAGTATTTGAGATATTCGTCACCAAATTTTATTGGTGATATTGCAACCGACAGCTTCCAGCGTAAGAAAACGTGGCTACCCTTTCAAGTCACACAGTGACCAGGAGATGTCAAAATATGAGTGAAACTCACAGGTCCAGTGCCAGAAGCGTGATGTTGACAGCGAGGTCTGTGAAACAGGTGGCCGGGGACGCAGCGTGGACAGGCAGTGCCAGTGCCTTGTGCAGGAACTGCAGCGTGCTCTTGAAGATGGCGTCACTGAAAGCTGCACAGGGATTGTAGTGCTGGGAGAGCGGCACGTGTCGACAGAGGCGAGCAGCGATTTCATGTCAAGTTAGGACCAGTGACCATAAGTGCACCTATCATAATGGTTATCGCAATGGCAGCTACAGTTGTGCCCATCATTGCCGACACCAATGAGCGTTCACTGACATTTATCGCCGACTTCAATCGAACATTACACACACACATTCCTGTACTCGCACATCCAAACCAAGCACTGTAATGAGTATCAGGAGGGAAGTGCTGTCAGCCTCAAAGTTTTGTGCAATACGGTAGGTGACGCAGGGATGCAGTTTTTCATTGCTCGGCCACGCGCTGAAGATCCCGCAAATTTTTGCGACTAACTGTATATGTAGTGCCTCTCAAAATAACATGCATGAAAGTTCTGCCAATCACTCACCACACAGAATCTCAAAAACTAATGCTTCAGAAAGTTGATTCACGCATAAGAAACTTACAACAGCGCAAAAAAGACATAACACAGGAAAACTTGCACAGATACAACCCTGGAAATTCTGCCTACCTAGCCGTGAGAAAGCTCTGATGATGCGCATATGTCGAAGGGCAAATGTAGTGAAACTGACAAAGATGAAAGAATAAGTGCTTGGATTGGCCACCAGCTTTTCCTCTATTATCCATAGTGTGGGCGCATTTTCAGGCTTCTGTGAGTATGGCGACAAGCCTGTTTTGTGGGAGGTTAGGGACAGCTAAGAAAACAAATAAAGCAAGCAAGTTATTTCACCATAACGAAGAACAGAAAGTAACCTATTTGTGGCAGTGGTGTTTTCCCCATATTCCTGAGCCACAACTAAGAATAAACTATCAACACATTTATTTTAATATAACAATTTGAGTTGTGTTACAACCTGCAACTGCTGCCTGACTAACTGTATAAGCGATTGGAAAGCAACTGATTGCTAACTTGCAACTGTCGCAACCAATTTCCTTCTATTGCCAATAACCAATGATTGAGAAGAACGGAATGCTGGGTGAGTTGGTGTGCCAATGGGAACGGAATTTGCGCAAGAAAGCATAATCAATGAGCAGCTAAACAACAACACATCTGCCTGTCCTAACAGTAAAACACAATCAAAGCAAGAATCAATATTAAGCGGAGAGAAAGCCCCAGCAAGAGCATATATCTTTTAGGCTTGCGCAAATAGTGAACTCTAGGTTTGAAGTGTAGGTTATGAAGTGCAAATAGTGAGTTTGGTCGAATAATTAAAAAAATAGTGTGTGTGCGTGTATATATATATATATATATATATATATATATATATATATATATATATATATTGTTACGTACAATCCAAATGATGTACGAATAACTGTTTATTGGGGCTAACTTGTGCCCGAAAAGTAAAGGAAAATGTAGCGGCGTCTCTAACAGGCGATCAGCAAAAAGGGATCAGTCTCCGAGAAAACCCTCGAGCGGTGCACCACTTCTTTTTCATCAAAATCCCGTGCTGAGGAGGCGCGCGCCGTCACGGCCTTTTCTTGTTTGATCATCAAGCCGCTGATCTCTTGGGGGGCGCACGAACTCGCGCGCGTAGTTTGAATACTGCGTTTGCCTTGCGTCATTATCCCTCCTCCAAAAACGCATCGTCCCGATGCGTAAAAGCAGTGTTGCTGAGATGGTCTGAATGCGTGGTTTCCATTCGAGAAATAGGTATTCCTCATAATCGGGTGTGTGTAGTTCGATGTTCATTGCCTGTCATAGTATGGCTTCATTCTGACTACATGCACGATTTCTGTGCTCCTTCGGCATCTTGATGAGCTCACTTGTCCTTCCGGTGACACCTCGTAGTTCAAGGAGCTGACGCGACGAAGGACTCGGTAAGGGCCGAAATAGCGGCGAAAGGCCAGGCGTCCGCACGGGAGTCCAAATCCAAACAAGGTCGCCTGGTGTGTAGTCGACTCATCTCCGACGAAGGTAGTAACGGTTTGCATCCGCGCGTTGTTGTTGTTTTATGTGATGTCGCGCAAACTGCCGTGTTTTTTCGGCTCGCTGAATGAATTCGCTGATGTCAGGCTTGTGCTCTGTATTGTCGCCTACAGGCAGCATTGCATCTAATGGTGTGGTAACTACTTGACCATAGACTAGCTGGAATGGCGTCACTTTAGTAGTCTCCTGCACAGCAGTATTGTAAGCGAAAGTGGCGTACGGTAGTATCTTGTCCCACGTACGGTGCTCCAAGTCAACGTAAATGGACAACATATCGGTTAGAGTTCTGTTGAGTCGCTCGGTTAGCCCATTCGTTTGGGGGTGGTAAGCCGTTGTTTTCCTATGACTTGTGTGGGTAAGTTTCATAATGGACTGCATCGGATTGGCAGTGAATGCAGTTCCTCGATTCCTGATAACCACCTTTGGGGCACCATGCCGTAGTACAATGTTAGTGACGAAAAATTCAGCTACTTCTATAGCCGTGCCCCTGGTGAAAGAGGCTGTCTCGGCATACTGGGTTAAGTAGTCTGTCGCCTCTACTATCCATCGGTTGCCCATTGATGACGTAGGAAATGGACCAAGTAGATCCATTCTTACTTGTTCAAACGGAGACTCAGGTGGTTCGATTGGTTGGAGAAATCCTGCAGGTTTCAATGGAGGCGTTTTGCGTCTCTGGCAATCTCTACATGTCCTTACATAATGCTGTACAGCATCCAGTAACTTTGGCCAGTAGTACTTGGTGCGGATGCGAGCCAATGTTCTACTCACTCCGAGGTATCCTGCTGCTGGGTCATCGTGGCAGGCTTCCAGGATTTCGGGTCGCAAGGCCGAAGGAACGACGAGTAGGAATTTCTCCTTGCTGTGCTCGAAGTTTCTCTTGTATAAAACATTATTTCTCATGAGGTACGAGGACAATCCCCGGACGAAAACTCGAGGAACACGCACGGGTTACCCTTCCAGATGCTTGATCAGTTTAAGCAACTCCGCGTCAGATCGCTGATATTCAGTCATGTCTGCGGTGCTGACGGCCCCAAGAAACGGAAAGTCGTCTTCATCTTGCACTGGTGCAGATTCCATTGGTGCGCGTGATAGGCAATCAGCATCGCTGTGCTTGCGACCCAACTTGTATACGACTGTTATGTCGTATTCTTGCAACCTGAGGCTCCATCTAGCAAGTCGCCCAGAAGGGTCCTTTAGGCCTGCGAGCCAGCACAACGAGTGATGGTCGCTCACTGCTTGAAATGGTCTACCATATAAGTACGGTCGGAATTTCTGTATGGCCCATATTACCGCCAGACATTCTTTTTCCGTCGCCGAATAATTTATTTCAGCTCTCGAAAGAGTGCGACTAGCATATGCGACCACTCTTTCCTCTCCGTTTTGCAGCTGCACAAGGACGGCGCCTAGTCCCAAATTGCTTGCGTCCGTGTGAATCTCTGTTTCGGCTTCTTCGTGGAAATGTGCCAGGATGGGGTGGTGTAGGAGTCGCTGTCGTAGCTCATTGAACGCCTCTTCTTGCTCGCTTGTCCAGGTGAAAAGCGTGTCTTCTTTCGTCAGTCGGGTTAGTGGCTCCGCAATCTTCGAAAAATCTTTGATGAATCTTCTGTAATAGGCACAAAGTCCTAAGAATCGTCTCACAGCCCTTTTATCTGTCGGTCTAGGAAACTTTTCTACAGCTGCTGTCTTTTCGGGGTCAGGTCGAATGCCTTCAGAGCTAACCACATGACCGAGGAAAAGCAGTTCATGAAAACCAAAATGGCACTTTTGGGGTTTTATCGTCAGCCCTGCTGAACTAATCGCTTCGAGCACAGTCCGTAGTCGTTCCACATGCTGATCGAAGGTGGCCGAAAAGATCCTGACGTCATCGAGATAAACAAGGCAGGACTGCCATTTTAAACCGGACAGCACAGTATCCATCATCCGCTGAAATGTGGCGGGTGCGGAACACAGGCCAAATGGGAGTACCTTGAACTCGTATAACCCACCTGGGGTCACGAAAGCAGTTTTCTCGCGATCTCGTTCGTCCACCTCTATCTGCCAGTATCCGCTCTTGAGGTCTAGAGAGGAGAAGAATTTCGCGTCTCGTAGTCTGTCAAGGGTGTCGTCGATCCTTGGAAGGGGATAGACATCCCGCTTTGTGACGACGTTCAATTTTCGGTAGTCAACGCAGAAGCGCAAGGTCTGGTCCTTTTTCTTTACCAGTACTACAGGTGAGGCCCATGAGCTGGCCGACGGTTGAATTACGTCGTCCCTGAGCATTTCTTCAACTTGGCCTCTGATGACTTCTCTCTCTTTTGGTGACACTCGGTACGGGTGCTGGCAAATAGGTCTAACAGATTTATCGATTATGATGCGGTGTTTGATTATAGATGTTCTTTGCACTTTCGATGACGTGGAAAAACATGAGGCGTACTCCCGTATAAGGCTCTCGATTTTTTGTTTCTGGTTCGGTGATAGGGCTGCTTCGATGTGGATAGATGCGAGTATGGAATCTATACCGTCAGGGTGCGGTGGTGCAGTCTCGGAAGAATTCAAATCCGTAATCGGAACGTAGTCGTGCAAGTGACCAACAACAGTTCCCTTCGCAAGGTGCTGCACCTCATTTCGGAAATTTGTAAGGAAGACACTGGTACACCCATCACGCAGTCGTACAATACCTCTTGCTGCACAGATCCCTTTCTCGAGTAATAGCCCAGTATTGCTTTCTGCCATTCCTTCATAGTCGTTGTACACATTGCTTTTTACGGTGACAACGATGATGGATCTTGCAGGTACTGTTACATCATCACCTGCAGTCTGGAGCGCATTGAATCGTTTTTCACTCTCGAATGTCGCGATGGCGTGTTTCGTCGAGAACGAGACGCACGTTTCCTGCAAGTTTATCACTGCGCCATTGGCCTGCAAAAAGTCCATTCCGATAATTACATCTCTTGAACACTCCGACAGGACAATGAAGCTGGCGACGTAGGTGAAGCCGCGTATCCCGACTCTAGAGGTACCGATGCCTGCCGGATCGATAAGGTGTCCCCCGGCGGTTCGCACTTGTGGTCCTATCCAAGGGGTCAGCACTTGTTTCAGCGTTCTGGCAAGTCCCCTGCTCATGACGGAATAGTCTGCGCCTGTGTCTACTAAAGCATTCGTTTCGTAGCCGTCTATAATTACCGACAAATCAGAAGCGACGTTACCATTTTTGCACGTAGTCTCGTGTCCATCATCACATTTTGAAATCGGCACTGGAGGTTGTTTTCTTGCGTCGGCAGCGGCCTTACCTCCCCAGGTCGCCGATTCTAGTTTTCCCAAAGCGGGCTTTGGGGAAGTCGCCTCTGAGAGTTTGAAGATGGGCGCGGACTTGGTGACTGATACCTCAGTGGCGCTGTCGACCGAGACTGATGCTGCTGCGAGGAGTGAGCACCTTGACGCGTTGACAAGTACTCCTCGATTTCAAAAGGTCGCTCCCCATTCCGTCGACAGGCAGCGTTTACGGGAAAACCCTGAAGTCCAGCTCGGCGATATTCACACATCCGGTAAAGATGGCCGGCTTCGCCGCAGTGGTAACAAAGCGGAATTCGATCAGGAGTGCGCCATATATCAGCTTTTCGGATCCTAGTCTCGGCTGGGGACGGCGTAAATCGAGGTTTCGGCAGATGCGTGCTTGCTGCGGCGAAATAAGGTCCAGGGGCGGTGAAATGAGGTCCAGGGGCGACGAAATGAGGTACAGGGGCGCTTCTTAGTACCTTGGCGTACGAGACTGCGGGCTGCATCGGAACCGATGCTTGAACAGGCTGGGCTTGCGGCTGCTGCTCGCGGACTGCCTGTCTCACCTCCTCCTGAACAACTTCCGCTAATGACGAGACCGTTGACGGGTTGCCGTTTAGCTTCTGGAGCTCTTCTCGAACAACCGATCGAATGAGCTCTCGTAATACGTCGATGCCATTCCTGAAGACTGCTGACACCGCGTCTACGGATGCGACGTCAACATCTCGATTGTAGTGCCTCGCTCGCTGTTGCAGAGTCTATTCAACCGCTGTCGCCTCGGTGCGAAATTCAGTGACGTTCCGCGGGAGACATCGGAGCCAACCAGTAAAAATCTCCTGCTTCACCCCACGCATCAGGTGCCGAAGTTTCTTGTCCTCGCTCATATTTTGATCAGACCGGCGGAAAAACCGGCACATGTCTTCCACATACATTGCGACGCTTTCATTGTTGCGCTGGTTTCTTGCTTGCAAGGCAGCTTCAGCTCTTTCCTTGCGGTCTGTACTCGGGTATGTGGCCAGTAGCTCCCATCGGAAATCATCCCACGATCGAATGGTACCTTCATGGTTTTCGAACCACGTTCGTGCGCTGTCCTGCAATGCGAAATAAACTCGGCGGAGCTTTCGTTCTTCGGTCCATCCGTTGCAGTTGGCGACGCGCTCAAAACCCTCCAGCCAATCCTCGGCGTCTTCATGAGGATCGCCATGAGAAGGGTCCGGCGTCCGTGGTTCATCGACAACGACGTGCGTGGCAGCGACTGGAGACGAAACCACGTGTGCTGCAGCGGTTGGAGACGACATTTCGGTACTCTCACTGGAGACAGCTGGAGGCACTCTGGGCTCTCGTGGCAGGGGAAATTCCGGCGGCTCACCACGTAGACGACGGCTGGAGCGCTGATGAACTGGCGTGAGCTCAGTTGGTTCGACTGCTCGTGGTTCCGGGCTGCTTCCTCGAAGTCCAACCGGGTTTGGGATCATCACCCGGCTCCTCCACCAGAATTGTTACGTACAATCCAAATGATGTACGAATAACTGTTTATTGGGGCGAACTTGTGCCCGAAAAGTAAAGGAAAATGTAGCGGCGTCTCTAACAGACGATCAGCAAAAAGGGATCAGTCTCCGAGAAAACCCTCGAGCGGTGCACCACTTCTTTTTCATCAAAATCCCGTGCTGAGCAGGCGGGCGCCGTCACGGCCTTTTCTTGTTTGATCATCAAGCCGCTGATCTCTTGGGGGGCGCACGAACTAGCGCGCGTAGTTTGAATACTGCGTTTGCCTTGCATCAATATATATATATATATATATATATATATATATATATATATATATATATATATAAAAAGAACAATGGGAATATTTCTCATGACATTATTAACCTGCACAATATTTAAAGGAAATTGAATAGTAGCAAGATTTAGCTTTCGATAGAATGCAAGTGATAGCTTGTAAAGTATATTATTTTTTTTAAAGCTTGCTATATGGGTGCATATCACTCGGTATAACAAGCTTTTAAACTTCAAAAATGAATTGATGTGAAGGTAATATCTTCATTTAACCTTAAAGTCAGCTTTCGTGGCAGAGTGAATTTAACCTGAGTAGATGTTTTGATGGTGTAGCACCACTTCACTAAAGTGACTGAAACCACTTTTACAGGATGTCACACGTGAACTAACATGCATTTACGTATTCGTTTTGAATAATTTGAAATTTTCAATAACTTAAGTTCAATTCAAAGTAAATTCGAATACTACACTATGCATTCGAATATATGAATCATTTACAAATTCGCACAAGTCTAGTATTTTGTGTACCACACTGATTGTGAACCAGGTCACTATTCACAGGCATGGCAGACAAGTTCACATTACAATGACTGATTTTAATAAGGAGCTGCTGTTCAGACTGCTCACCCTTGTGCTGTGCAAGCATTTTTCTGTCATCATCCGTTCTTTCAAGGTTCCGAGAAAGAGCCCGCTTGTGGACCACCCTGTAAGACAACAAAAAATAGTCAACATTTTCTGAAAAGCAGTAAAGAAAAAGGAGAGAAAAAAAGGACAGGAAATGAGCTGTTTATTGGTATTTTGAGCTTTTAGAAATACTAATGTGGTTTTATAACTTGTTTCTATGACTTGCTTCGATGAACAAGCATTGTTTCCATGGAAATTTTTGTACTGTATTTCAAAGAAAAGTCAGAAAACACAGTAGACTCCTAGACCAGGAAAATATGTTAACATTTAATGCAAGTTCTATTTACTGAGAGACTAACAGAGGTGAACTCAGAGCTGATCGTATTACAGGCAGCTCTTTAATTCAAGCAGTAATTTTGTTAATGAGGTCATGACACCTAATTTTAGCTCATAACCGATGTTATGTGGGTTATTCCTTGGATGTTCACAAGCAGGCTGGTGAAATTCCAGCCCATTTAGTCGAGCACTTAATTCTTAATGAATAACTTTATAAACATGCTAGCGACCCAAGGCCAACACTGGTCCACATGCGAGCCGTGACGTCAACTGCTACTTGCTTTATGAGCATCTGTCACTTGAATGAATGAAACAACTTTATTTAGAGATCCGGCTAGCTGCTTGAATGAGCCAGACCACTCAGATGGTGGATAAAAGACCTCGTCTCCCAGTCGCCTCCCTAGCCTGCTGGAGAGCCCATGTTTCATCATGTAAATTAGAGCTGCACAGCGTTGTATGCCATCGCTCCCGGAGAGGTTTTGGGCAGTCTGTTTGTTGCTAGGGCACCCCCAATAGCATGGGGCTGAGGGAGGCCACTCTTATTTTACAGGCTTTACATATCGAGTCAGGGTAAATCTCTGGAAATATTCTGTAGAGCTGAGCAGGGCTGGGAAAAGAATTGATTGGTATTTTGCGCAGATCTGTCACCTGATTTCTATCTAATTTTGGGTGAGGTGGAACAAAAACCCACCTCAAGTCATGATGATACTTGGTATGTTCTGCATAGCTGGCGATTCTGTCTTTTATTAAAGGTACGGCTTCGGCAGCAGCACTTCTCGACGAGGGTAACCCTTGGGCAGTGCGGCGGGTTAGTTTTCGCGACAGCATATGAACTGTCTCGTTCGAGTTGTAGGTGGCTGCGTTTGTGTGTGCCGGAAACTAGAATAAATATTTACGATCCTCCGAAACCATCAGTTTCTGGCTCTTCGCAAGAATTTTCAGGGCACTTTGTGAAATACGTCCGCACGCAATATTCCTAATCACGACCTGTAAGTTGCTAAGAATGAAGCTATTTTTTGTGGAAGTGGAGGCCGTAGCGATGGCCACAGCTTCAGTTTCCTCAATCCTCAATTTGTGTCGCTGACACAATTTACTTTACGCAGTGCAGGCATTAACGCAGTTTCCAGTCGCGTCTTCAGCCGCTGCAACATGTGCTCTCTCCTTCGAGTACTGGCTCGCACCTACAAACAGTCCCGTGTGTCTTGACCTAGTCCCGTGTGTCTTGACCAGCGCTTTTGCTTTATGGCATCTTCGTTCTGCATTTGTGCTGAGGTTCATATTTCTAGGAAGCGAGATCATCACGATTTTGGAGTGGCTGTGGGTGGACACATTTCTCTCCATGGTGAACGTGTTCCTGCCCATTTTTGTTGCTGACAGCCTTCTATGTTGCGAGACATGCTGGGCTTGGGCAATCTCTGCTAACGTGCTGTGAGTGCCTAGTTTCAGAAGTAGTTCCGTGCTTGCATATTCTGGAATGCCTAAGGCACGTATGTTTGTATACTCTCCTGATGCTTCGACCAACAAATTTTTTTTGGAGGGAGTCAGCTGTGCATACAGTGGCGCTATTCTAGTTTTTTTCAGCTTGGCATTAAAAATTGCACAATATGCAATGGCTGAACCTTATTTTAGAAGACGGCGGCTCCACTCCTTGAAAAGCATAAAATCACACTCCCCACGGCAAAGTGGCAGTTGCTGGCGGTGGGTAGGGTTTATAGCCACAACTTCTAAAGCTCGTTTTAGAATCAAATATTTTTTACAGTTCATTTTTTATATATGTACCGGGACAATAGACTTTATACTTTTATTTTTTGTGTCATGACCTCTTTAAAGAAACTTCCTTTAACTGAGAGTTTAGTGTAATATACGCTGTTAACAGCATTCACCAGCAGCTGGTAAAATGCAGTACACGAATCCAAAGGGACAAAACGTGGTCTGTCAGAGACATTCAGTATAATGAGGGTCACTGTGGTCCTATGGAGACCTTGAATAAAGAGCATTAAGTCCAATGGAATAGACATCGCTTCAGCTACACGAATTTCAACGAGGATCAAGAGAAGGTACCCTGTATAATACTACTCTAGCCAAGTGTTTCTTCCAAATCTTCCATTTTCAGCACCTCCAACCAAAACCATCAAGTCGCACCTGGTCTCCTCGTGCCATATTCACTGTAAATTCCTAATTTTTGGTAGTCGTGCACACTTCCCCAGCACTCAACAAACCCAGTTACACCTCATTTGTAGGATTGTGTGAATAGTGAATTGTAGGCTCTAAGCAAATGGTGATCTTGATCGAATTATTTCAAATTGAATTTGAATAGTATATATTTCACATATTATAAAAAGGGAGGTATTTGTCATGACCTAACTAGCCTGCCCAATATTTAAAAAAAAAATTTAAACAAGGCCTGTGCAAATGCCATTTTTCTGCATCAAAGAAAGCGTACATAACTTCGAATAGTAACATGATTTGACTTTCAGTAGAATGCGAATGATATCTCGTAGAATGGCTTTTTAAAATTTGCCAAACTTAGAGCATATAAACTATATGCAAGGCCTTGAACCCTGAGGTGGAGCTTTGCGACAGTGCAAATTTCACCTAAATATATGTTTTCACTGCTTTGCACTACTTTACTGCAGTAAAACCATATTTAAAAAAATCATACGTGAATTAATAAACACTTGAAAAGAAGCATTTATGGCTTAGCACTACTATACTGCAGTAAAACCACCTTTACAGCATGAGACATGCAGGTGCAGGTGCTGCCTCCCTGGTGACCACCGCCGGTAACGCGCTCCCTCACTAGAGGATTGGCCACCCTGGTGCAGTACCTGGCCACTACCTCCCACATGCATTTGTCAAATAACTCACGGCCCTCAGTCCCCAGCGGCTGCGAAGCAACTGACCACGGCGGTAGTCAGATCTGCAACGCAGCAGAGGGTGCTAAGAATTTCTGGATTCGGACAGGCCGTCACTGGAACCTGAACTTGGCAACGTTTAACGTTAAAACCTTATCTAGCGAGGCAAGTCTAGCTGTACTATTCGAGGAGTTAGGGGGTGTTAAATGGGATGTGAAAACTTGGGGACCGTTAAGCTTTGCCTTCAAGAGTTCAACGTGATAGCGAAACCTGATGTGCCCTTCAACCGCTAAGTGCATACTTATTAATGTGTTTTGTTGCACACACACGCACACGGTAGATTATACCAGCGTGCGTACATGAAAAGTACATACAGGTTTTTGATCTAAAGCAAGAGTTGCATGACCTCCAAAACAAACTTCGAGCGCTCGCCAATTAGGAGGCCATAAAGAGTCTCACAATGCCTCACAGATGGCAGCACATTATCTAGCGTTTGCTGTTTGCTTGATGAACGTCTATGGAAAGGCATGATATGTTTTGCACTAGACGGACATAGTTGTCCATTTTTAGAGTTGTTTGAAAGTTACTATGTGTTTTTAGCGGAGATGGCTGCACTATCTCAGCCTTTTTACGACGTAGTTTGATGGCCTCCCGAATGCGCCTACAAATCGCCATATGGGCTCGGTTTCGTCGTGACACCTGTCGAACAATATGCGTTAAGGAGGCTCCTTCCACCACATGGCATTTATGTAGTGTTTTTTTTTTCTGAAGCAGCTGCAAGTAACATCGTAGCTTTGTGGTAAGACACTTGCTTGCAACACGAACGACCCGCGTTCGATCCTCAATGGGGCCGAAAATTTTATTTTTTATTTTATTTGCTTCTTTCTCGATTTTTCACTCACAACCATCAGTGCCGACACTGAGGGTGGAATTTCTGCGACCCGAGCTCTCTAACGCTATCGCGTTAATAGGGCTCAGAGAAGTTAGGAGGGCACGTGATGCTTATACAGTACTACAGAATGGGAGCGTCCTTTGCTATTGGAACTTGGCTGACAGAAGAAAACTGGGAGTGTGTTTTTTTTATCCACAGAAACATAGCTGGCAACATAGAGGAATACTATAGCATTAATGAAAGGGTGGTAGGCATCGTAATTAAATTCAATAAGAGATACAAGATGAAGGTGGTACAGACTTACGTGCCTACATCTAGCGCTGATCATGCGTCATTTAAACCTTCTATGATGACGTAAAATCGGCAATGAGTAGGGGAAAAACACGGTATACTATACCACGCCCTTAGAATCAGTTCACCGCTGCGGCTAGAGCGACCCCCCCCCCCCCCCCTCTCCTTCCACCACGCATTTTTCATGCTTGTTCAAAACGGGCGACGTGTTTTCTCTTTGCTTGAGCATTCGATGGCAGGTCTAACATGCGGTTGGATAGTATCGCGTGCGCCCTCTAAGCGATGCGACGGAGATTGGCCGCCTCGTTTAATCTCTGCTTCCGCAGCGCTTACCACCCCAGCTTGCGCAATTTTAGGCGCAGGTAGAACATATGCGCGGGAAATGTTACCAACTTCTAGTTTACGTGGAACATGGCGGCGACGGTGAAAACCCGTCAAGTGCCCATGTAGTTCCTATTCAAATAACAAAAAAATCACTCAGTTACCCAACCAGACACGCTTGGTAGACCGAATACTTCACTCAGAAAGGAAGGTTAAATCATACGCGGAAATAACGAAGTGTGTGGCACAGAGATACCTCCCTTTAGACACAACCCGGCCTCCTTCTGGCTACGCACAATACACGGGATCACCAGCCTTCGAATTGGACAAGCCCTTCAAGGAAGCAGAGGTCTGGACCACCTTAAACAATCTTAATGGGAACTCCAGCCCAGGCCCAGATGGCATTACAAACAAGACACTACACAATTTAGACGATGACTCTGTTGCCTACCTCACCAAAGAAATCAATCGTATTTGGAAGATGGGGACTTTCCCTGAGCATTGGAAAATGGCATTGGTTATTCTCATACCTAAACCTGGCCGGAGTCTCAGTCTTAGCAACTCACGACCCATTTCACTGACATCCTGTATAGGCAAGGTCGCCGAGCTTGCCATCAACGATCGGATATCAAAGCACATAGAGAAGACTAACCTGTTCCCGTACAACATGGTAGGTTTTAAACCACACCTATCTACTCAGGATGTCATGAAAATGTTGAAACATCACATCATAGATCAGGAGACGAAAGACGTTAGAGCTATTCTCGGTCTCAATCTTGAAAAGGTCTTTGACAATGTCTCGCACTGCCACATACTTGCCTCCATCTCTTCTCTCAACTTAGGAGCCAACTTTCACAAGTTCACCAGCTAGTTCCTCAGGAATAGAAAAGCCACTATACAGCTTTGGGATCTCAAGTCTAAGGCTTGCGATCTCGGTTCCTTCGGCACCCCGCAGGGCTCAGTCGTCTCCCCACTGCTGTTTAACATTGCTATGTCTGGCCTTGCTGCCAAGCTCTCAAACCAAGAAGGCATCAAGTTCGCCATCTACGTGAACAACATCACCATATGGAGTGTTGGTGGCTCCGAGGGCTTTGTGGAGAGCTTTCTTCAAGAGGCTGTCGACTGTGTTGAAGTCTACATAAAGGAAATGGGCCTCAAGTTCTTGTCGGCAAAGTCCGAACTTCTCTTATATCGTCCTACGAGACGGGGACCCCAACCCAAAAACTGGCAACCACTGGACAACATCGACATTAGGCTGCACACGGCATCGGGGCAGAGTATTCTAAGGGTGGACTTCATACGCCTTCCGGGCATGATTATCGAGGCCAATGGACAGAACGGCCGCACGATCGACCGTCTGACTTCCAAGGCGGAAGGGGTCATCCGACTAATGTCACGCATTTTCAACAGTCGGGGTGGTCTTCGAGAGCACAACCTCCTTATGAAAATGGCACAATATATCTGATTTAGCACACTGTGGCGTAGTTGGCACAGGAGTGGAATCACTCCAAATGCGAATTACTAAGCATTATTAATTCGTTTTGAATATTTCAAAATTTTCAATAATTTAAATTCGATTCGAAGCACATTCGAATATTCGCACAAGCCTACTCATTTGCCAGAAACAGTTTTATATCACCCACTAAAGAAGACATGACACCTCATTTTTAGCTGTGGATAGGAGGATGATAACGCAGCAATTGAAAGTCATGAAGTGGAATCTCATACTTCATGAAGCTCAGACCGGATGCCTGAGGACTTCAAATCTGACCCTATAGTGGTGGCAAATGCTTCATTCTAACTAGGCCTGCCCTCTTACATAGGCTTATTCACTATAAGTGGGAGGCACAACTTACCAGACTGGATCCAGGGGTGCAGCTCCTGGATTTATCGCCCTACCCATAGACAAGATCACCTCCCTTTTTATTTTACTAAGTGATGTTATTACACACATTCATTTTCCAAATCACTTCATTCCTTGTTTTCTTCTTCAGTCTCACTGTTTCAGCACTACGACAGAGCTTAATGTTTGGCTGAGCAAACAGCGCCAATCTGTTCTCCAGACTTGATCCAAGGCTTTTCTTTCTGCCCTCATTTGTTTTGAACCATTTTTTTTCCAAATGCACTCATGTTACAACTGCACATCGTTGTCATTTTCTGCTTTGTATGGCGAACACCCTTTCAATGTGTTTTACCTGTCCAGAAATATTACTGAACAAAAAAAGTAGCAGGCCAGTTACATCAATTCATTTCGGGTGCAACTGGAAACTGGTCACCTCAGCTTTTCTGCCGCCTCGTGGATAGTTCCCAGCACATCCTCTTGCTGCGATGTGGAGCACTGTTCCAGCAGCAAAACCATCTCAGGCACTGGTCATAAGGCAGGAAGAAATAGCGTGAATTAAAAAAAAAAAGAAAGTGGCAGTGATGAGGTTAAACGTAAGAAAATCTAGAACAGTTGGGAGCATAGTGTCATTTTCACTGTGGCATTTGTGGTGCCTTGACTTCTCTCATTTACATGTTACTGCCCCCTGTCTTTTGAACATGGTACAATATGTTTAAAATTTTTGAACAATGCAAGAACACCAATGGAAATAGAAGTGTTACGTTCTTTCTTCTGTACCCTCCCGCATTTGTGTGCTGTTAGTGAATCTTGAACAAAGAAACGACACAACATAGAAGAGTTTATTATTGGAAGCTGCACAGCATGTGAACAGGGATGCTCTGGTAGTGAAAGGCTTCCTTATAATCTTGCCGACCAAAAGTTCATAAATGCAGGCAGACTATGGGTGCACAGCAGTGTAACACCTGCATCTATCAACCAATAACAACGCATGCTTGTTAAAGGTGCCCTGCGACACTTTTGCGACAGCCTTTTTAAGCGCCGGAACGCGTGTAATAATGATTGCTGAGACAAATGCAACAAAGAAGATTCAAATTGGTGCACGAAATCTGAAGTTATGAGTCCTCAAAGTTCGAAACTCGAGCAGACAATAATAATTTCACTCGCCTGCTGATGTCAAGACCGCTTCCAATCACAGCTCATAAAGACATATCATAAAGACGAATCTCATAAAGACAGACTGAAAATGTCACCTCATAGTGACTTTCACACAGTACCTCACTAGCCCTTTTTTTGATGGCGTCATTAAGATCGTTACGATGAACCCTGTGCATAAGGTAGCAGCCACTCCCACAATTCCGTTGTGTAAGGTATACACATATTATTCGTTACTCGGGGACACTTCTGGGCTTGCATGCAAGACGTGTTCTATGACAGCGCCAGCGTTTGCCGCATGTCACCCTTTTGGTTCACTAAAAACACAGCAAGTGTTTTTACTTTTTATTTTTCGCACACCATAGCTGATATCGCAAACGAAGTGTTCTGTTCATTCTTTTGAAAATACATCATATAGAAACAAAAATTATTTATTTCTGAGAAAGTATAAAAAGGGTTTCTACTGTTTTTAGCATTCACTCTTATGGTTTGGTGTGATGGTTACGGACGTTCGTCACTATGTTTGTTTAGAGCGGACGAGAAAGAATTAACTTGAGCAATTTAAGCGAACAAAAGAAGCTTTATATTGTACACTAGAGAAGGAAGTGGCAGGAGAAAATAAAACTATATATATCGAACCCTATACGCCAAGCATCACACAACATGCACGAGAGTCAGACCGCCATTAATCTGCGCAGAGTTCGCGGCTACGTTAACTCAATGTCCAGCGCGTATAATTCTCGGTTCGTAAGCAAAAACCGCTGTCTCACAGTTTGGGTCCCCGTCGTCCCGACATGATGCGGTCGTCGACGTGCGCGAGGGCAAAGGTGGCACGGCTGGAACGGCTGACGGCACATGGATGCGCTACCGTGTGCAGCGCCGTTGAGTCGGACGTCGCGGCTAACCCAGCAGTCAGGGTTGCAACTCCTGAGGTCCAGGATCAGGCCACGGCTCACGAGGACCACACCCGGTAGGCCTCGCCCACGAGCCTGCTCCCGGCCACTGCACCCAGGCAGGAGCCGTTCAGCAGGCCCCGTCCTTGGACCTTGTACAGGCCAACGGACTCGACCTCGAGCAGACACACCGGAGCTCGACCTGGCCGACACGTACGGGTCCCACATCCGGCTCAGGAACGCTGCCAAGAACTCGTCCTCTCGAGCGGCGCACCACTTCTTCTGCCTTCGTGGCCTCAACCCTCGAGCTCTCTTTTCTGCACGTTCCTTCTTCTCCTCTTCTTTTTCAATCCTTGTTGTCGCCTTCGTGCCACCTGCCCTCCGCTCGTCTTTTTCAGTTTTGGTTTGACGTTCCTCGGCGTCTTTAAGTCCTTTTTTTCCACAAATCGTACCTAACACACAGTGCTTTCGTGTCCTTTCCTTACAATGTGCTTCGTGTCGTTTCCTGTTCAAGAAAGTTGTTTAGGGGGAAAACAACTTTTTACAAGCGCACGGGGTGGAGTAAACAAAAGCAAGAGAAATAGCGAAAACAATAACATTATTTACAGAAGTCCATTGCGTTAGGGAAAGGGTGACAACATGGGAAAAAAAATTTGTGCCACCACTAAACGCTAACCAGCGGAGAAGTCAAATGCAGCTGAGGTAGTCGGCCCCTATGTTGTCGGAGCCCTGAATGTACTCAACCACGAAGTCATACTCAGTAAGCAATAGGCTCGAGCGGAGTACTCGGCTGTTGATTTGTTTTGCGGAGTTCATGTAAGCGAGAGGCTGGTGATCAGTTTGCAGCACGAATCGGTTTCCGAAGAGGTACACACGAAACTTTTGGATAGCCCACACAAGAGCCAGCGCCTCTCTTTCGATGGTTGAATACCGTGACTCCCGTTCGAGCAATTTATGGCTTGCGTAGGCTACTGGATGCAACATGCTGTCGTGACGCTGCATTAAAACGGCTGCAATGCTGGATGAAGATGCATCCGTGCGCAATATGAATGGCTCTTGTAAGTCCGGTGATCGCATTACCGGACCAGACGATAGTAAACGCTGTAGTGTTACAAACGCTTTTTCATGGCATTCTTCCCAGATGTCCTTATTAGGACCTCGCTTCCTAGTGAGTTTCGTTAGAGGAGATACTACAGTGGAGTAGTTGGGGATGAAATCTCGATAATAACCAGTTAGACCTAGAAAGGAGCGAACTTCTTTCTTCGTCTTCGGTCTCTTTGCAGCCTGAATCTTCTCCAATGTCTCGATCTGCGGTCGGAAAAGATTGTTCCCGACGATGTGTCCCAAGAATTTCACTTCGGCAAAAGCCACCTCACTTTTCGATGGCTTGATTGTAAGATGAGCTGCCCTGACACGTTGCAGAAACTTGGTGAGAGTTGTGATGTGCTTGTCCCAAGTTTGTGTGGCTATGAGCACATCATCAAAATAGTGATAGACGTTCGGTATTCCATCTACCACTTGTCTCATTAGTCGGGTGAACACAGCAGGTGCTGTTTTGATGCCGAAAGACATGAATCTGAATTGGTAAAGGCCAGAAAAAGACTGAAATGCGGTGAGGAACTTCGATGCTTCGTGCATCGGCACCTGCCAGTACCTTTTTGTGAAGTCGAACGTCGAAAAGTAGCGGCTGTGACCTAGTTTGGCAAACATCATGTCCACTCGTGGTATCGGTTCGTTGTCTGTAACGACGACTCGATTCAGCTGTCTGAAATCAATGCAAAGTCGGATGTTCCCGTCTTTCTTCTTGACCACGACGATTGGAGCTTGATACGGGGACTCCGAGGGCTCAATGATACCTTGTGATAGCATGTCCTGTACTTCTTTTTCTACAGTTTCTTTGACGGCGAATGGTATAGGGTACGTGCGTACCTTTACCGGTGTTTCAGTGGTAAGGCGTAACTTGCACTCGACGAGGTCCGTTTTCCCTGGCACGTCAGAAAATACATCATGGAACTCTCTCAGGAGTTCATTAATTTGTTCTGTCCGCAGGCTGTTCAAATTAGGCGCTACTAACACATTTTTATATGTTTCCCTTTGGTGCAGGGCAACAAAGGGAATTTCTCGCTCGTCAACAGTGTCTGACTGCACAGAAACCACAGCTTGTTGTGCTTCATTTTCGGGCTCCCTTTCGTGGTATTTCTTGAGAAGGTTAATGTGAAAAAGACTTCTCCGAGTTCCGAGGTCTATCTCGTAGTCATAGTCACTGCGTTTTTCAAGCACTGTGAAGGGTCCCTTCCATGTCAAGATCAATTTATTCTTATCTGAAGGTAGCAACAGCAATACTTTGTCGCCGGGTGATAGGTGTCGAACTCTTGCTTTCCTATCGTAATATTTCTTCTGTGTCATTTTCGCCTTCAGGAGTTCTTCGTGCGCTACCTTGCAGGTGTCTTGCAGTCGCTCCTGGAGATCTATAACATACTCGTATGTTGATTTCGTTTCATGATCGATGTTGGCCCCTGTCCACAGCTCCTTAAGGATCGACATTGGCCCGTGTACAAATCTGCCGTAGAGGAGATCGAACGGCGCGAATCCAAGGCTCGTTTGGGGAACTTCACGGTATGCAAAGAGCAGGAGAGCCAAGTATCTTTCCCAATGTTGCGGTCGTTCTTGACACATGCGGCGAACCATTTGTTTGAGAGTGCCATTAAATCTCTCCACAAGTCTGTTGGCCATGGGGTAATAGGCCGTTGTGGGTAGCTGACGAAATGAAAGTAGCCGACCGAGTTCCTGCATGAGACTCGAGGTGAACGACTTTCCACGGTCGCTCACTATCTCACGGGGCACTCCAACGCGGGAGAACATCTCTACTAGTGCTCCCGCTATGCGCTCTGTCTCGATGCTCGGTAGTGCCACCGCATCCGGGTAACGCGTAGCGAAGTCTACCATCGTTAAGACATACTTGTTGCCCTTGGATGACGTTGGTGACAGAGGGCCAATAATATCGATGGCGACCCGCTGAAAAGGTGTGTCTATGATAGGCATATTTCCCAATGGAACTCGTCCGACGAGGTGTTTAGGCACGGTCCTCTGACATATGTCGCACGACTTCACGAACCGTATCACATCAGCCTGTACACTCGGCCAATAAAACTCTGTAAGGACACGGTCTGTTGTCCTTCTTTGCCCTTGGTGACCAGACAGAAGGCCTTCATGAGCCATCTTCATTACGGTGTTCCGAAGATCCTGGGGTACTACAAGTTGCTCCAAGTCTCGCCTTCCTGCCGTGCGGTGGCGCCGGAAAAGAATGTCGCGTACCAGCACAAACTCAGTGACTGTTGGCTTCTTAGATATGATCTTCCCCAATGCGGCGAAGCAGGTTTCCAGTGTGGGATCTGCGTGCTGTAAATTCTTTAGCCCTTCCCAGCTGATATCCAGGGGTTGGATCCGAGGAACAATCAGTTCACTGGGCTTTTTCCTTT